TCCAATTTATGTAATTTTTGACCATATATTTTAATGTGATTTTAGGTGGGTTAATAAAATCCAAATAATTCTGCTTAAGAAGCTATGGCTTACATAGCGAAACGTTATAAAAAGTCTTGTTTAAATTTTTCTTAAACACGCCGCGAGTATTTTAAGTTTAACCCAACTCATGCAATGTAGAATCTTTGATGTAATTTTAGGGAAAAGTGTCTATGTGTTTGACCTGAAAGAATCCACTGAAAGTAACACCTAATTAATGCAAACTTTGAGCAGGTTAATTAGCCATAAGAACATTGAAAAAGTACATTGAAAGCTTGTTTAATAATTATTGATGCATGCACCTAAGTTTTATGACTTAATACATGCTAGCGTGTCATGCAGCTTTAAAAGATATCTCAGTTATATAAAGCGGATGGAAAATGAGAAAATAAAGTGCTCAATTTATAAAGTGAAATGTTTACTTATTGATGAGCAGTGATGAGTAGTAGTGTGGATAAAATTATTTTGAAAAAAAATATACTTAAGGCATACCTTTTACTTTTACGATATTGTCTATGAATAATGAAGATATATACATATACACATATAAAATCACTGAGTCATTTAATATGAAAACTTATATGCAAATTATATCAACGTTATTGTACTGACCATGTTTAATTCACTTACCAAACTATCTAACATCCCTTCGTAAGGTAGGCGAAGTAATGTCAACAGAGATGAACTTTTATGATTACTGCTAGTATAGTGATAATCAAAGGCGAAGTGAAATTCTAGTTTGCAGTGTGGTTCAAGCTAGCAGCTTCCAAATTACCACACTAGAGCCATATCAGCTGAGCTATAACACCTGAGTACTACTCTTACTGTTGTGATTATTACCGTCATTGATCTAACAAGAATGTATTTCTCAGCTTACTTCATTTGATATGGAATTCACTTAATAAATTTTGTTAACTATGCAGAGTCACAGTGGTTGAATGGTCTACGAACTTGCCTTATAACCGTAAGGTCCTGGGCTAGAAACCCAGTGGATGCGTTCTACCGATTAGTCACAAACCTCGGACGAGACAGCCGTCCAGTACTTCCACCTGGCCTATTTTGGTCCACCGAAGGAAGATACTGCCTACCAGTCTCCTCTGGTAAGAGGTATGGGTAGGTGGGTTCGCTTTTCCTGAAAACCACTACCCAGTCAATAGGTGTACCGTTATGTGAATAAAGTGCGTAAGTGGCGCAGAGGTAGAATGCCCGTCAACCACGCCTTATGTGGTCCGGGGTTCGATCCCTGGCCGAGGCACTCCTTCAATTTGCTAAGCCAGTAATAAAACTGGTAGAGAGGGAACGTTGGACATGAGGCTAGCAACTTCATCCCGTAAAAGTAAACACCACTGCTACCGAAACTTCAAGCCACTAGCTTGAAGCCCTATATTCCACTGGGAGCGTACAGGAATAAAAGATGCAGTATGAAAGTGAATTGACATAATGATATAACCTGTAGAACGACCTAGCAGACTATTATCGGTATGAATCTAACTACTGCAATAGCTAATCACAAAGCCATTCACAATAAAAACAATCTCACAAACAGAAAACAAAGAAGACAAGGCGGATCACTGACAAGAGAGCTTTTGTTGTCTCCAGCATCACTAAAGACGATCTTGGTGAACACTAAATTTAAGGGTAATTTTAGATAGTTGATGACTCACGAAAGCGAAGTCTTCAGGAAGAAGGAGAAAAACAACGAGTGTCATGAGTATACAAAAGTTTTATGATATATTTATTTTATGGTTACAAGCCAATTTCATGTAAAAGAAGGCGATATCAAGAACATATAACACCAAATTGTTGACGGGTGGGGAGAGTCAGCTGATCGATCCATATGCCCAAAAAATTGGAAATATATTGGTTTTATTCTGCACGCTATATAGAACTTTGTATGTGGAATGTTGAAGAGTCACGGCGTAAGCTGAAACATCTGTTCAATGTTTCTGAGGTAAACAAGACTCGTAAGGCGAAGATCATTGTCGACCGTGATCGGTCAGACTGTTCTAAAATGAATGACTTTTTTGTTAGAAATTAGCCAGTGGTCGTAAGCTAAATCCCTCCAAATGTTAGGTTTTTAATCCCACTTTCAAACGCAAGCGCAACTCACGCGAACTGGTTAGTTTTCATGGTTCCAGTATCATAGATGGCGCGGAAGTTGAAAATAAATTTAATGTTAAATGCCTTAGACTCTGTATTTCCTCTGATCACCTTTCCTGGTCCTCCTACATCAGTTTGCAGAAAGATATTTCATTCGACGTTCTATGCAAGGAAGTTAAGACGATCTGGTATCATTCCATCGCTACTGTTACTGTTTATTAATTCTTGTATTCCGCCTTCTTTACTACCCCAGCCCTTAATCTTTCTCGGGCTACATAAGAAAGACTTTGATATACTGTAAAGTGCATTAAAAGCCGTCATTTCCGTGAGTGGGGTATGTCGAAACCAACTCGCTAATACTGTTGCTGATAGACACATGAACTCCTGTAAGAAATTAACAAATATTAGTTTGTCAGACACAGATCGTCTTCGCTATACACAGCTCCCCCCTTGCTACATCTCATCAGGTAGGGGAACAAGAGGTAACTGTAGAAGACTATATGCTCGGACGACTAAGTTCTAAATATCCACGACGCCTAATTATTATTATTCCCTTGCGTTCTGAGTGGGACACTGGGCTTCAACAACACATCCACTTTGTTCTGTTTTATGCCGTCCTCTTCAGCTGTGTGCACAATCGCCCATAATCTCTCATATCCTCCTCCTTACCACACGATCTCCTCCATGTCACACTAGCACCGACGACCCACTCGTCGCTTTTCGTTTGGATTCCACTCGAGCGATGGCCTGTATTGCACGCGATGTCATTCGGTGGCCTCCTCAATGTATGTGCAATCCATCTCTACTTTCTCCTACATATTTGTTGAGCGACCGGCTCTCGCCTGCCAATTTGTTCTCATAGTTTCTTGTTTCTTATTCTTTCTGACCATTTGATCCTCAGTATGGAGCCCGTGAAGGCAGCTGTTGATGAAAGTCTGTAACCTGTTCGAAATCCTTTTCGTGACTGACACGCAGTACAAGTGTCTGACCTGTATGGAAGAACCGACTTCACATTGGTGTTGAAAATGCGAATCTTTTTCCTTATGCTGAGTGCAGAAGATTTCCAAACTGATTTCAGGTTGATGAAGGCATATCTTGCTTTTCCAGTTCTGCCTGTATTTGACATCTTTCTCTGTTCCGTCTACCCGTAGTTGAAACGATTCTTCCCAGATAAGTGAAGGAGGCGACCTCTGTTAAATCTCTCCTGTTGATGGTGATTGGTGCTGGTTGTTTTTATTGTTGTTGTTGCTGCGGTTCGTTGGTTATCTTCATCACCTCCATCTTCTCTATGTTCACCTGAAGTCCTATTTTTGCTGCCAGCCTCTTCTGCAAATGTGTGGGTTTTCGCTTGCAAGTTTTCGAGTGAGTGTGACATTAGACATATATCATCTGCGAAATCCAGATCTTCTAGAGTCTTCTTATCGGTCGTCCAGCGTATTCCTCTCTCCTCACCCCTCCACGCATAGTCTGACACATAATCCGGTCCACCACAATTAAGAATATCATCAGTAATAATAGGCGAGCAGCCTTGTCTTACTCCTGTATGCACTTCGGACGCCTCGTTGAGTTTTGTGTTGTGGATCACCTGACACGTGTCTTCGTCATATAGCCAACTTTTGAAAGAGGTTGATAAAGATTAGGGGCACTGCACTCCATAGTGTTGAAACAGTTTCCAAACTACTTCTCGGTCAACACTGTCTGTGGAAGGCCTTCTCGAAGTCGATGAAGTTGATGTAGAGGTTTGACTGCCATTCTATGCTTTGTTCTGTGATAACGATGCGTAGATTTGCAATTTGATCAGTACATAATTTGCCTTTCCTGAATCCAGCAGGTTTCGTACTGGTGGAGTTCTGTATCCAGTGTATCTTTTATTCTCTCCAGGATGATACGACTAAGTATTTTACTTGGCGTGGACAGGAGCATTATTTCACGCCAGTTCTTGCACAGGCCCCATGATACCTTATTCAGCACATATTTCATGTCATAAGAAATGCGCAAGACAGGAAACTACCAGCTTACTGCGGAACTATAAGTAAACTGCCCTACTTTCAGTTTTAACTGCTGTATGGTTGTTAATATTTTCACTTAATTTTAAATTCATAATTTTATTGAACAACATTATCAATGTAAGCGCGCTGTTTTAATTATCACCCTTGTAATGAGAAAGTTAGATGCCATACTGTACCACATTTTTTCATCCTTTACGCTCCCATTGGAACATGGGGTGGTTTCAAGCTAGAGGCTTGAAGTTTCGGTAGCAGTGTTGTTTATTTTAATGGGATAGGGTTGCTAGCCTCATGCCCAACCTTCTCCCTTCACCAGTTTTATTACTGGCTTAGCGAGGTAAAGGAGTGCGTCGGTAGCCGGGGATCGAAGTCCGGACCATATAAGGCGTGGTTGGCGAGCATCCTACCGCTGTGCCACCGACGCATACTGTACCACTACATGCTGAAAATTCCATATTTGTAGCAAACTACTGTTTGGAATAAAGCTGTTATTGTGTTGAGAGCTGTCTGCTAGCCAAAATTGGTAGACAGCAATTGACGTCAGTGTTACGTCTCAAATCTTGGTCATGAGAAAAGAACAAGAACAAAGACTTACTCAACAAACAATCACATAGGACTTCGCATGGGCGAATACGATTCACAGATCTATGGTCTGACCATCAAAGAAACGGCCACAAATAGATGACAGAATAACTTTCAGCGAGAAAGCAATCAGACAGAAGATGCTGTTTCTCTGCTAATATTAACATATGTACATAAAAATCTATAAATATCTGTTGATTTTCTAAATAAAGGATCTGTTGCCTGACCCTTGTCTTCTGTCGTTACATTATTATTACAATTGGATTGACTTACATTTTATGCTTTCCTCCTCCTCCTACAGTTTCTTTATTCATATGTGCTTCACGTGCTGTCATTAACTCAAGCATTCTACTCATACGTATTATTGAGAAGCGAAATTCATAATCTCCATTATTTTCAATGATCAACTGACGAGATTTATGATTATTCAATATTAATGATCCGAAATTTATATCTTTAGCTGGAGAAATTGTAAATCTGGAAAAAAAAGATATTTTAAAATAGGCAATATTAGGCAATATATTCATCAGTTTCCCGAATAGTTGCTGATCTTTTCATGAATAGATTCGAAGATAACATCTTTTCAAGCATATTCACTCATAAAATATAGATAAGGTATGTAGATGATACCTTTATAGTGCTAAAACGAGATCTACACAGTTCCCTTTTTTGAGAAAATGAACAGTCTATCACCCAGCATCTAGTTTACTTCGGAAGCAGAATCAGATGTCGGTGAACTACCATTTCTAGACTGCCTAGTTAGTTAAGAGGAGGGAAAACGGACATTTTAATATATCTTTATTCAGGAAGAAAACCCACTCTAGCAAATATTTAGACTTCCGATCAGTTGTTTCATGTCTGCTTAGAGGAGTACAATCTTTGATAACGGATGAAAAAGATAAAGAACAAGAAATGTCAAACATTACTGAAACTCTCGAGCAAAACAGCTACCCAATAAAATGCTTGGAATGTGATGCGATATACATCGGACAAGCATGGCAAGAAATCAAAATCAGAAGAAATGAACACCGTAGAGCATCTGTTTGACCACCGAGAAATCCAGTTGAACCAGAAAAGCCAGAAAAATCATTAGCCAACCATAGCTCTACACGCTGTAGAATCAGGTCACAAAATTGATTTTGACAATATTGGAATCATCATCCAGAAAATTTCAGAAATCACAAAGAATGTCTCACTTCATCAGAACCACTTCATATCAAATGGAATCCAAATTGTCTGAATAGAAATCATGCACTAAAACAGAATTCGACCTGATTACAACATCTCCTTCCCTCATGAAATGGAAAAACCAACGCCAGTGTGATATGCAATTTCATTATGTAAACACAGGCTGCTCAATCACCAAATCTTTGTCCATTGGATCCGCATCAAACAAGTGCAGTCAAGATGACACAACGTTGAAAACAGTCCCTTTGCTAAGTCACTAGTTTTCTTCTTATACGTGTCTAGATGGGAACTGCGAGTGTTTTAAACGTAATGAGATCTAAAAAGGAAGTTTCGAACATTTTTAATTTAAAAGAAGGACAAAACCAAATTTCGTGGTACGTAAATAACCTCATGTTGAATGACCTCCTCTCTGAAATATATCACAGATTAGTAGATCCATTCTTATTTACACAAAATATTCATTTGCGAGTATTATTATTATTACTACTATTCGTCTCTTCGATTCCATGTGCAGCATAGGGCTTCAGAGGCACACCACCATTTTACTAGGTTTTCTACGGTTCTTTCTGCCTAGCTTCACGACTGCCCACATGCTCTCAGATTCTTTTCATAGTCGGACTGACGTCCAAGTAGTCAGTTTCTATTCGAAGACCTGCTAGGTATGTGATGCCACTCAACAGTCCCTTCAGTGTATGTCCAGTCCACCTCCATTTCTGATTTCATATTTGTTGAACAATAGGTTCTTCATTGGTCCACCGCATTGCTATAGTCCCCTATTGCTTATCCTTTCTGGCTGGTTATCTTCAGTACCAAGAAGAAGGTAACTGTTGCAAAATTCTGCGTAATGCTGTTGGAAATGCATGTGCCTTTGTCTCTAAAATATACAGAAGCAATAGCTTGAGATAAGTGGTGCAATTATGGATCTTCTTCCTTGAACTGAATGCTACAGATTTCTACACAGCTTTCCTGACCAAATACCAGCTTTAACATCCTCATCTGTACCGCCTATAAATGAGACAGTAATACCCATGTAAGAAACCATGAAAAGTGAGTTTAGATTCCTCTAATGTGATGCTGAATAGTTGATACACTACACAACAGTGAAATTGTGTTTTGAATATATATAGAGAGTAAAATTTTAAATATAGAATTCCTACTCATGTAATATTCACAGTCTGCTACCTACTTGCTGAATACAGCTCTCACAGACACTTTAATTGGGATGGATGCAATCAGTTGTGGAGTTCCTTTAGCATTTGGTTCAACAATTTGACATTTAATTAATTCAACTTCTTTTAAAATACATTCTGTTTGTGCACAGCAGGTTAGCTGTATGGAAGAGAATAAAATTAAAATAAAAGTTTATGTTTAGGAAACAAATGAGAATTACAATACTCTGTAGTATAATTTAATATTTATTGTACGACTAATGAGTTATTGAAAACAGACTACTGTTCCGAAAATTCAACATTTAATGGCAGTAAAAAACTAATACAGAAGGCCAAAATGGAAAGCAGGGAAATCGTGATGCACATTTTCTACCCTGTTCGGTACAAAAGAGCATTAATAAGGTGCCTCTTCAGTAGAATCCAACGAATATGCACTGAAGACACACTTGATGAGGAAGGAAGAAAGAAGTTCATAAGTAGATATGTATTGGTCAGTACACCAAGACCCACTCTTCAACTCGACAAGAAGAAAGACATATCTATCAAGGTACCGTATATGGGTGATCATAGCAGCATGGTAACTCCACAGCGGATGAACACTATGGTTAAAAAGACTTTTTATGCAACTAAGATTTGAATATTCAAGTGTTGGTTTGTAGGGATTTGATTAGTTACAGGGTTTTCATCATGAGCTGACATCAGTTAGAGAACCACTGGAAAACCTAGGAGTACTGGACAGCCATTTTGTCTTAGTTTGGGACTCTTCATCGGTCGAATCCCGGGGGTGCGCACTGATGACGAGTCCCAAACTAGGACGAAACAGCTGTCCAGTACTCCTAGGTTTTCCAATGGTTCTCTAACTAATGTCAGCTCATGATGAAAATCCTGTAACATTTGAATAATTGGAAGTATGAAGCCTGCATATCCATCGAAGCCTTGAGAACATCCCAAAAGTTATGTCATATCCTACTGTGTTTACCAATTTAATTGTACGTGTGGACACATAGATAGGGAGGACTCATAGATCTTTGGAAATAACGGCTTCACAGCATATTCCTAAATATCTTCTGAAGCAAATAGAATCTTCAGAACCTATTAATGGTCAGAACAAGAGACCTACATCCTCTATTGCGAAACACATATTAAAGAGACAACATAAATTTGATGTTTCCACACATCTTTTAAACCTATCTATAAAATGTGTTTTGGGGCTTATCTTAAAGTTTCTGAAAGCCCTAGCTGGCAATTAGAAAGTTTAAACCAATTTTATGCGTTCAAAGCAACAACTCGTCATCACATTAAACATTTCTTGGTAAACTTTGTTTTGATACCAGTCAGGGTAGATGTACTATTTATTACCTCTCCTTTTTGGTTTAGTGATCTTCATTGTTATTTTGACCTTCTATATGTCCTTTTAACTTGACCTAAGTCTATTTTCTCACCTCTTAACTCTTTATTAATTCCATACAAATATTCCTAGGACAAGTCCATGTGTGATCAGATTGTTAGAAATGTGTATTGAGCAAATACACTTCAACACGATTCAGACAAATTAAGTCTTTTTATTGCTTTGTAAAAATATAGTTTTTACAGAGGTTTAGATGTAATTGATTTAGTATTTGCATGCAAGCCATTTGTAACACGGTTGAAATATTTCAGTCTGTTTTTTAAACGTGACCAGTAGGGTACAGCAGGTTGAAGATGAGGCAGTAACTCATCGAAGACGACATTGTGAAGTGGTCGCGCTATGTCGTGAATCGGAAGAAGTTAGAATTCATGGGCTGACTGGCCGTTGGATCGGATTGCAGTGGCTGCTGAATGGTCGCTCACCTTGTAACCAGAAGGTCCTGGGTTCGAACCACTTTGGTGGGTGCGTACTGATGAGAAGTCCCAAACTAAGACGAAACAGCTGTTCAGTACTCCCTGGTTGTTTACCAATGGTTCTCTAACTGATGTCAGCTCATGATGAAATCCTCCATCCAATCAAAAACAAAATCCCTGCAAAACCAATGCTTGAAAATATATCTCAAAATGTGCTTACTATTTACTAACCATGCTTTGAATATTGAAGATTTCCTAATGCCTATTCTGTTAATAGGAACAATCTGCTAGGCAGTTCTTTCAATTGTAACGAACAGTGATCAATCATTCATTATTTGTTTATGAAAGACCTTTGCTTCATTTTATGCTTGAGATAAAAATTAATTATTAGATTAAATTAGTGATTGTAAACTTTAATTGGATGATTATTGAATATGAAGTGGTAGAATTTGTACTACCACTTCTTTTGAAATTAAAAGCGCATAAATGAATACATTGAACTCACAATCACTTCTTATTTATATTTTATATAGACTTACATTGATTTGAGCAGATTTATCTGTAGGCGATAGACTGATACGTTGTGGCGACATAGTAAACACGTCAGCGTAGTTCATTTTCATTGTGGCATTTTTGGAAAATATGAAACTAATAAAAAAGTGGAAATATTAGATGGATATAAACGATTGGTTTCTAAACAATTCTAGATGTGATTTTGCTACTCCTTGTGAAAGTATCTTCAAGATATAAACAAACAGAGGGATGTCTAGCTCGATAATGAACTTATAGTTACATATTATGCATTCACATGACACAACAGTGCTAGATTTTTGACCACGATCTGGCATTAGTCATAGAATCATTGGAAAATCAGGGAGCACTGGACAGCTGTTTCGTCCCGGTCTCGGATTCTTCAGTTCTACGCGCCCGGTGGCGTTTAAATTGAGGACTTCCCAATTACAAGTCTAGTGGGTGGGTACTTCTTAAGAGTTCCAAACCAGGACATGACAGTTGTTCAATCAATGCTTGAAAACATGGGCAATACTAGTGATGAACTGGATTAAATGGTGACCTGATGAGTGTCTGAGTAGCATATCGCAGGTGGTAGATACTCAGATTTTAACGGGAGAAGAGAAGATACTTGGTAGGGGAATTTTAACTTTACCTTCCCCTGACGGATGAAATGCAGGCAGTCTTCAAAGTGCACAGCTGATAAAGAATTTAGTTATTGAACTTAACAAGAGAGATGAATGAATGAATTAGGTCTCAGCTTCTCGTGAAGGACATGAGTAGAATCTCATCTGCGCATTATGCTGAATGTACGAGATGTCTAGTAATCACACCATCCTCTTTACTAACAATACGATTAGCTTCATAATAAGATGTATTAGGTAATATGAGAATGGAATTTGAGCACCGTTACAGAATATAATTCCATCATTCAGTAAATTTACTTGATAAAAGCACACTGATGACGTTTCGAGCACGATTTATTACTCATAATCAAACTAAGGTGCTTATTTAACTTCTAGATGTCGTCAATAGAGTTCCAATATTTCCTATCCTCTGATTTTCTTTGTAATAATATTTTTCATATCTCTATTGGTGTTATGTCAGTCCTACCCATGTTTTTGGTGGCATTCAAACCTAATAGCTCACTCAGTGCCAAACTCTGTAGGCTAAAGGACCACCCTAGTGACCTGATGACACAAAATGTAATCTACAAAATAATTCACAATGACTATCACGTCAAAGAAGTAGGTCAGTCCAGTAGATTGCAGTAGCGTCGTTATTGGAACATAAGAACTTTGCTGAAAGCAGAATGTTTGACCTCAGGAAGATGAATAGTTTAGAGGAAAACTGAGCTATTTCAGTGCATGCACTAACACACGTCACACGATAACGAGGGACAGAGCTAAAATTGTAAAACGCAGTGTGATTAGGTGAATAGGGGTTGATTGGTAAATCTTTGTGCATCAAACCTACATCTAACAATTATTATAGAGATGACTCAATACCAATACCCGAGATGTGAGAAATATTACTGTATACTGCCAAACAAATCAAAGGATGAAAAATAGTGGAATTCTATAAGCCAAACATGAAAGTCATGTGAGCACCCTGATTTGATCATGTACAATAAGCTATGTCACCAACAGTCTCCAACAATCGTTTCTTAGGGTTCCGAGGACCGCGATTAGGTAGTCTACATCTACCTATCTAGCTCAATTCCTCAGTCAAAGATTTCATGGATTGGTGTCATGACACGGCTGGACCACGCGTAATTCTTTTATAAACCGATGCTATATTCTAGAACATCACTGAATGGAGAAGACAATACAAGTAATGAATAAGATTTGTAGCTCTCTGTGCTGGATGGCTTAGTTTTGAAACTTTGATTGTCTTACTAGGCAACATCCTCAGCGCATAACTGAATTTGAATTGGAAAAACTCACAACAACAACCAATCACATTTAAAGTTATCAAGAGAGATGACTAATGAAGTGGTAGAGAAGTTTATAGGCTCACTTCACAATAAATTGTGAGCTTAGGATGTTGCCTGGCAAGGCAATGAAAGCTTCACAGTTAAACCATCCATCTCAGAGAACACAACTAAACCAAAAAAAAGAAGAAAATGGTTCAACATAAGTAATATTTTCCCAGCTGTTGCAAATGGTGACGACTTGCAACCTTATTGCTCTCAAAGCGTTCTATTTCTTACGGCTACAGCAGTAATGAATGAGCTGGAAAAAACCTGTCCGGAGTAACTTTAACTTATTCATTTAACATTTTTCCCCCTAAGGTATATTCAATAAAAAGTTTTAAAAAATGGCGGATTAATAAGGTAATTCTATTAATCACAATCCGAATCTTACTTACTTGACTACAATTTCGTAAGGCCCTTTATTCTTTAATGTGATTGCATGTTTCACTTCTTCACCAACTTTGATTAAACCAAAATCAATCCCACCATCACTACCTATCCAGTGAATATGAGATTATAAAGAGAGGAAAAAGAAATATATTAAAGAAGGAAGTTAGTAATTCTATCATTTGGATTGCCTAATTATTCTATAAATATTTATAAACAGTCAAATACTGATCATAGTTCATTTGAATTATTGTATAAATAGTCAGTTTTTGTAACTCTTAATTAGTTAAATCATTCCGGACTAATGTTACTTTTACTTCCTACCAATTACTCCTTGTGATCGTGGAAAGGTATGTTCAAATCTTTAATGTAATGTAATGTAATTCATATTTTTCATCGTTCAGGTTGTAACCAGTTGAGAAGAATCCTCGAAATAATAAAAGTTGAGCTCATATTATCCTGGTACAGTTGTTGTTCTTGCTTTGTTCAAACAGATCGTTATTCTGTTGTATAACATTTTTTTGAATTCTGAGTGGTAGGTAGGTCTTCAGATGTGCGTATCCATTCCGCTCCATTCTCTGTCATGACTTCCAAGTGGCTTTAAGACTGGCTAGAAGCTGCCATTTCCTCTTCACATGCCTTCCACGTCACTGTTGCACCTGTGACCACAACATTGCTTCCCATTTTGGCTTCCATTCTAGGGCTGAACATGTGATTTCTCCTGAAGGCCTCCTCAGAATAAAAAATATGCATATGGGTTTCGGTGAATATATATGTGGTGAGAAAAAGTGCACTTTGATTATGTTATCAAATAGTTCGAATTTTCCAGAAGAAATAGTGCAGACACATTCACTCGTTCTGACTAAAATATTAACTTCCAAGAGATTCTAGTTTACTCTAATGAATGTTTTTCATCTGCCAACCACTTAATGTGGACTTGATTCTACTAAGTTCTTGATGAGAAAACGTAATTAAGGAAAGGTTTCATATATGTATATGTATTCCTCTTCATCGTGTATTCGATGAACGGCTTTATAGATTAAAATAGTCAGAAGAAAACTATTTGTTGTAAATTTCTATCCCCTTTGAAATAATAGAGAAGATTTCTATCCCCTTTTACAGTGACTCCGAATGATAGATCACTTGAGATGATGCAATGAGTTTTTACTGGATATTCGACTATCTCACATTTTGCAATACTAATACTGCCGGTTCGTGGCCGGTTTAGTTACCATTCTTAATAAACTAAAGTGTATTTTTTCAATTTTATTTTTGATTGCAGCTTGATGCCACACCGTATTTTCAGTACACGTATGGCATTTTCAGCATGGATATCGGTAGCCCAAATTTTGCAGGCCGACCATAGATATCGGGTGTGCGTCGGCAGGGGATCGAACCCCGGACCATGTGCATGATCGGCGAAAATCCTAATCACTGTGCCACCGACGCACAGTAAACACAGTAGGCAAAGCAGATGAATATAGGAGTTCAAGAAGCACCATATGACTGGTTGTTTATCAAGTATGAAAGAGTTTGAATTCAATCTGTTTAAATACATTCGCCTTGTTTATATGTAATGTATACTTAATAAGTAGTTATTAAATTATTCAACATCAAACAGTTAGTGATAAAAAGCATTCACAACATGCCACAGCGGAATTTCATCAACAGCTGCCTTTGCTGGCTCCATATTGAAAATCAAATGACCGGCTGGCCAGAAAGAAACTATGGGAATGAACCAACCAAAATCCCATCGCTCAGCAAATATGTGGAAGAAAATAGATGTGGATTGGACACACATGAAGGAGACCGCCGAATGAAAACGCACGCAATAAAAGCCATCGATCTAGTGGGACTCGAATGGGAAATGACGAGTGGGGCGTCGGTTCTTGGGTGACATAGAGGAAATAATGTGGGGAGGAAATTAGAAACTATGAACAGTCGTGGGACCAGCTATAGAGGACCTCGGAGAAGCCCGATGTTCCACTGGGAACTCAAGGCAACAGCGATAATAATAATACTAATAAAGTTAGTAGGACTGGAGTTTCAGTGGTATAATGCTCCCCAACCACACCAACAGACGCCTGAACCAATCCTCGTTTGCTAAGTGTTAGTAAGCAAGATAAAAAAGAAAGGTTAGGCGTCAGGTAATCAACTCCATCACTAGCGAAACTTTAAATGCTTTAAGCCCCAAACTTCTACACAGAATGAAGAAAATTAATAAACAGAGACGTTAAAACTAACCTTTAGGAAAGTTGATGTCTAAAGCCACGTCATAGGCTTCAGCAATCACTTGAATTGTCTCCACTTGTATTAAACCAGCAATATTTTCTAGATCATAAACTTCTAAGCGTAAATTTTTCTTCTGATTTGATTTCACTGGTTTCATAGCACGAAAATAAGCATAGACAATACATTCAGATTTTGGTTCAACAATACCAGCATCTTGTGAAATAGAGAATTCATCACCTAATGCTTCAATTCCAGATAGCTTCCATTGTGCTGGTAATAAAGTATTATTTTTTAAAATAATTGAACGAACTTCTTTTCTGTCAAAGGAGAATAATAATAATAATGATAAAAACAAATATATTTTCGAGTATTGGTTTTTTAGTGATTTTTTTTGATTGAATAGAGGAATACATCATGAGGTGATACCTGTTAGAGAACCATTGGAAAACCTGCAAGGAGAACTAGAAGCTGTTTCGTCCTAGTTTGGGACTCTTCAAAGTAGGCACTCACCGGGGTTCGAACCCAGGACCTTTTGGTTACAAGGCTCTTAGACCATTGAGCCACTGGCACCCTATCTAAGGGCGAACACATGAATTCTAACTTCTACAAATTCACAACATAGTGCGACCATTTCGTAATGTCTTCTTCGATGAGTTACCGCTTCATCTTCAACCTGCTCTACCCTACTGGTCACGGATTCCCCCTAGAAACCCAGGTTAACTGCTTGAATAGGGCCAGTCGCTAGTGAGCATCAGATTAATTTTCAAGTATTGGTTTTGTAGGGATTTTGTTTGATTGGATGGAGGATTTCATCATGAGCTGACATCATTTAGAGAACCACTGGAAAACCTGGGAGTGTATACATCAATCTGAAAGTTATTATTACTGGATTCAGAATATGAATTATGGTGAAAATGTTGAATAGAGACATCATTCTTCTATTTCGTTCCCACTTAAGACTTTACAGTAGTGAATGCTGATAACTCCAAGATTCTTTCATTAGCATGCTTAGATTATTATTATTTTTCCCTTGAGTTCCAACCGGAACAAAAAGCTTCAACAATACATCTCCAGATTTTTCTGTTTTCTGCCGTCCTCCTCAGCTGGGTCCACGATTGACCAAAACCTCTTATCTCTTCCTCACACGATCTCCTCCATGTCACACTAGGACGACCCACTTGTCGCTTCCATTTGGATTCCACTCGAGGGCTTGCCGTGCGATGTCATTTAGTGGACTCTTCAATGTATGCCCCAATCCATCTCAACTTTCTCCTGCATATTTGCTGAGCGATCAGCTCTTCGTTGGTTTGTTCCCAGCCAGAGTTTCTTGTTGCTTATTCTTTCTGGCCATTTGATTTTCAGTATGGAACCAGCCAGAGAAGGAGGTAGCTGTTGATAAAAGTCTGCCACAGGCTGTTGGAAATCCTTTTCGTGACACACAGTGCAAGTTTCTGACCCGTATAGAAGGACTGACTTGACATTTGTGTTGAATATGCGAATCTTGTCCCTTATGTAAAGTGTAGAAGATTTTCAAACTGGTTTCAGGTTGATGAAGGCGTATCTTGTCTCTCCGATTCTCATTGGCTTTGACATCTTTGTCCGTTCCGACTGTCTGTAGTTGAAACGATTCTTCCCAGATAAGTGCAACAAGCACCAATCACCTTCGACGGTAGAAACTCCAAAGAAGTCACTTTCACCTATCTACGAAGCATTGTTCCCACTGCAAACTCTACAGTTGAAGATATCGAAACCAGGGTCGGGAAGACAAGGCAGACCTCCACGAATCTGAAATGTGTGGAAATCCACTGCAGTCAGCATAAAGAACAAGATACGGATATTCAACACTAATCTTAAGTTAGTGCTTCCATATGGTGCAGAAACTTGACTCCACTGCCATGGAAAGCATTTCCAGCTTGTTGATGTAACTTTCATCAACAGTTGCCTTCCCTTTCTACTGAAGATAAGGTAGCCAGAAAGGATTAGTAACAAGGAACACTGGAAATGAACTAACCAAAAAGTTATGCCGAAGAAAACGGAGAGGGACTCGTCATACTCTGAGGAGACCATTAAATGACATCACGTGAAAGCCAAACCATCGAGGTGAACCCGAATGAGAAACGACGAGTTGGGCATGTGTCTGACAGTGACATAGAAGAGGTCATATGAGGAAGAGATGTGAACTTATAAGCAACCATGGAAATCATAGGAATGATAAATACTAAGTTTTGACACAAAGTGTCCTATACAGGACGCTCACAGGAGTAACTGCGTTTAATTAAACCAACATCCAAAGAATGCTAGTGCCATTATATAGCCTCTAAAGAACAGTCTTTACACGATTGCTGCTGCTTTGTGCAGACCGAAATATCAAGTCAAGTTACGTGTAGATATGCATGCAGTCGTCTTCGTGATTGTCAGTGCTTCCTAGGAGAATACCGACCAGTGTTTCTATTATTTTCCAAGCTTGACATTTAAGCACAAATTTTTAAGCTGTGGAGTTTGTTTCATCTTTACAAATGTTTGTGGACTTCTTTGAAGGGTCTAGACAGAAATATTCTACTTTATTGTAACTCATTAAAGCGTCGGTGGCACAAAGGTTAGGACTGTCGCCGACCATGCACATGGTCCAGGTTTCGATCTCCTGCCAACGCACACCTGATATCAATGGTCGGCCTGCAAAATTTGGGCTACCGAAATCACATGCTGAAAATTCCATAGTTGTACAAAAATACGGTGTGGAATCAAGCTATAATCAAAAAGTAAATAAATAAATAAATTTGGAAGACTGTTATCCATGTAATAGATGGCCATTGGAGGTCAAGGGACAATCTGAATCCTGACACAGTTTGAAACTTTGAGCTTTTGTCATGCTCTACCACAGTGAACAAAGGAGACCTGGGTGGGCATCTGTTCCGGGATTTAACGAACGGTTATATATCACTCACGCATATGACGACATGGTGACACCCATGGAGGTTACAATGAGATGATGACCTGACTAGCATTCGGGTCTTGCAACTTGTATACAAAAGGATTTGTTATGGGGAGCTCGACGGTCTGAATAGTGTAGACGTCTGTGTCTTCCTTACACCTTTTGTCTTCCGAATGAAGACTGTGTTGAATTAGTTGTGTTCTCTGAGGAGCTGATTGCAGATTTAATTGTGAAGCTTTCATCTTCCCCACCCCCGCCTCTAGACGATATCCCCCTTCAGTGCAGGTTTCAGTATGAAATGAACTCATTCTCCATGAATGACGTAATTGTATCTCCTCGCAACCACTGTCGTAACTGGTCGTTAATTGACGTCTCTTTTAATCACTTCTATTGACTTGGAACTCAAACTTCCTTGTGGTGTGATTTACCTATTATTAGCTGGTAAATTCGGTCTATAATAATGTGCTTGTTAATTACTAATTCACTTGAGTACCAGACTTCTAGGAATTCCCTGACTGCATTTTTGGTGCTTCCTCTATTTAAAATTTCTTCATTATCCCAATCATCAAATTGGTGTCCATAATTATTCACATGTATTGATACGAAAGAATATATACCATGTGTTTTTACGGCCAACTTGTGTTCCTGAATTCGGATTCGAAATGAGGACGCCCACTTTGATTGATGTAATGTTTATTGCACTTCATACCATTATATTTTTGTAAATGGTAATGATTTCATCTTCTTTTCTGTCACAACAGTGGTCGCCAGGAGATAGATACATTTACATCATTTATGGAAAAATTAAATGAGTTCATTTTATACTAAAACCTGCACTGAAGGGAGATGTTGTCTAGAAGCGGGTGTGGAGGGACGACGAAAAAAGCTTCGCAATTAAATCTACAATCAGCTCCTCAGAGAACATGGCAACAATAAAGAATAGACACCAACTTCAGACGACCTTGGAACAACCAATCAAATTCTCCTGGGTGAAAAATGGTATTTAATTAATAAAAAAAGGTGTATTTATGATATATATGTAATAAAAGTGAACCATGCAGGGTATATATCTCTAGTATGCTGCAAAAACTAGCCCCAGTTTCTCATAGGATTGGTTATTGACATATCAAATCAATGCATTCTCTGTCTCTGCAGCTGTAGCAGATACTGGGCGCTTCAGTAGCCACTATATTACTAAGGGAGAGTTACCAGCCCTTACAGACTTCCTCAAATAATAGTGGTTGCTTCTAAATGTGTCACCGTCAATAACCCGGCAATATTTTTGCAGAGTCATTATGCTCCCCCCACATGTGCATGTTTTAGTCCTCCCTATCAATCCATTCTCCACACAGAGGTCAAAAACCAAATTTAGGTGAAACTTGCAACGAAGATTATGAACAGCATCCATTTGTAATGGTGAGCTCTCTGATTGGTTGGCCCAAGGTTATATGACTTGGGTGTCTATTGTTTACTCTTGCCGCGAACACAACTAATTCACCATCATCCACCTGAGCTACAAATCTTCTCGATTATTTCGAAGACTGTCTTAATGGATCGCACCATCATCTTGTGGATTACGGGCATGATATCGACGCAGTCAAGTCATTCACCATTGTCAGCAGACAAAGAAACAAGAAGATGCTTGCAATTGCAGAGGCTTGTGCAATTCGAGTTTACAAACCAGGTCTCTGTGTACAAAAGGAGATGGTCGTGACTCTGAATCTACCATGGTAATACGTTTTACTTACAATTCTACCTCTTATTATTATTTTATTATTACTATTATTATTCTCATTATTATTATTCTTGATTCATTTAAAACTATCCTTTATCAGTAGCATTATCTTAACCCACTTCAACACTATTATTATTATTGTTATATTATATTATTGTTATTATAACTATTACTATTGACATCCCTCTGGTTGCAATTCTTGTTAAATTCTCTAATGTCTAATTGTTTATCTAAGTGATGTAATTGAAGCGTAATGCAATTTATCTTAATTTTGATCTCCTATACTCTCTCTCCCCTTATCTAATTGCACATGACCTGGAAAAACATTCGCACCTGTCTTTCTGCATGACTAATTCAATGTAGTTTATTTACTTATCAGTCCTATATCTCCCAATGTAACTTCAAAAGTATATATCCGTGTAGGTAGAGTATTCAGCTGAAGAAGAGTTCTACCGAAATTTGATGAATTCATTAAATCCTGCTTTATTAACCTTTATTGCTTGTTTTAAATACATCAGTTAATAACCTGCTACTCCCTGTCGAATCATGCTTCAGTAGGAATGACCGATGAGAGCCTTATCTAGGTAGTTAGTTTATGGTGAGAGCTGGCTGCTAGCCAAATTGGTAGACAGCAATTTACGTCACTGTTTACGTCCCCAATATTGGTCGTGAGAAAAATCAGAACAAAGACTGATTCAACAACCAACTACAGCAGACTTTGCGTAGGCGGATACAGTTAGCATATAGATTATCTGACATTCAAGAAACAGCCACAAAGAGATGAAAGATTAACGTTCAGAGAGAAAAAACCAATCAAAAGACTGCGTTACTCTGCTAACAATAATCTATAATAATGTAAATGAAAATCTATAATTATGTGTTGCCTGGCCCTTGTCTTCTGCTGTTACAAGTTAAATCATCTAAGAAAATACATGTACCAAAATACGGTATGGAATGAAGCTATAATCAAAAATTCAAAAAAACATAGAATAGTCAATATGGTCGACATCGATCTCAGCACACATAAATTTACCTTTGTAATAATACTTTTTCAAAATTAAACACTTTCTTATCCAATTCCAATTCAGGTAGAACACCATCACAGGCTAACTTCAGTTGAATTGGTTCTGGATTATCTTTGATTGAACACACCAATGCATCAATATAACGTTTATGTAATTTTGGAAAAGCACAAATTCTTACAGTAGTTGATTGATTCGGTTTCAGACTTAATTGATTCGGTTGAACACTATAACAATCTTCATTGATATCATATAAAAAGCCTAATTTAATGTCTGTATCCATTTGAGATGTATTCACTAGATTGAAATAGGTGACATTCTCTGGATAACAATTCTCTTGAATACTAAAACACAGAAAAGGAGAAATCACAATCATTGTATTTACCAATTTATCTGCAATTAGGACAACAAGTTAGTAGGAAGGATTGAGACGAGAACGTCTACGAGATTTTCCTAGCATATCCCTAAAATTCTCCGTTTGGAGGGCAACAAAGTGTTCGCAAGTGCAATTGCCAGACACCTAAACGATACAGGACACAGAGAAATTGAGCAGGCTTTAGAAATAATCAATACCCAAAGAAAACCATGGTTACTTAGGTTCCCAGAAACCCCCGCAATCAAAAGAATTCAAACAACATTTGTATGCAAAAAGATAGTGTGATTAATCTTCCACTACCCTGGTAAGCGTGCTTGTGCTTTTATTCGTGTCCTGTTGCATAACATTTCACTAAATTTCATGCATTTATTCCTCTTAATGAATTCGAATAAAGCAAGAACAACAGTTTTTTGTGCAAAATAATATGGTACCATCATTGCTTACTTCCTTGGCTTCTTATCAGTTCAGCTGTTTACAGTCTGAATAAATTATGAGGTTTATATACAGAAAAGTTTTAATATACTTACTCTAGCTAGCCAGAGCCTATCCTGCAGCTAATTTGGTTCCCGTCCATCGAACAACGTGCAGTCAAAAGTCTACAGATACCCTTCTCATGTTAAATTCAACTGTGTATTCAAATTTACGTGTATCTGCGGAAGCAGTTACATTGGGAGAACAGGAAGAAGGGTACACTTCCAGTTTTCTGAACATGTAACGAAAAGCCTACGTCTCAAGGGAAAAACTCTTATAATAGCGCTATTACCAGACATCTCCTCGATATGGGTCATGAGGTGAAAATCCTTTAAAACTATCAATAGTCAAAGGAGCTCGATTCTCCTCAAGTTTGCTGAAGCAATTTCTATCCAACTCTTGAAACCATATTTATGTGTTCAGAAAGAAACAGTTACTAGTCTTTCTTTGTCCATCCTGGTAACTGGATGTCTTTATTCTTTCTGTCATCTGATTACGTAATCTTTGGCTTTAACCTCACCCCCACTTTGACATAGTGTACTTTTGCTTGTCTCTTGTTCCTATGACTTGAATTGAACTCAGTACATTATTACATAATTTATTGGTCACTCAGCATGTTACGCATCTTTCGTCTTATTACGTAACTCCTTTACCGCTGTAAGGATAATGTCTGAACTCACTAATTTTGGACTCACAAATTAGAATTCTTAATATGGATCTCAACAGCCAGCCTTAGCAATATTTAGTAGTCGAATACTTAAGGCGAAATTGAGATTTGTTGGTATGCGGTAAATGACTGTGAAAGTCACCTCGTTGACATTAATCTTGTATTCCGTATCCACAAGATGAGATAGAATAGCGCTGTGAATAGATTTTGTTTCTCCTTTACTTAACCACTATGCACGGTGATGTTTGGAAATTCGTGACGAGAAACACGCCTACTTATAATTTAAGTATCTTTAATCAACCGTAATTCCATCGTGATCTTACTTAACAAATCGATGTTATTTAAAAAACACTGATATTGTTGGTATTAGATGACTGGAGGCAATCGACAGGAAGCCTTGGACCTAGGTTTCGTGCTAGTTGGCACTCATCAGCAAGGCGTATCTGTAACCTTGAAGGAACTGATGTCCCTTCTGACGATGTAATGGCGAGCCACCTAGCATGGTGGCCACATTGCAAACATGACTGATGGAATTCAGTCTGCACTGAAGATAGGATTAGACACATTACACTAGTTACTGACTAGTGTGCAATAAAAAAAAACACTAATATTGTTACTGACTACTATTCTAGAATATTCTATGTATATATGTATATATATATATATATAATTATAGAGCCAGAAGAGGAAATTATCGAAATGGATATTCTTTGCTCACTTATATTGTGTTTTATAGATGTCTGAATGAAAATTTTTATAGATACTTAAATATGTTAAATAATTCTCCTTTTTTAAAGAATACATTATCACATTCAACTGTAATCAACTAGAATAATTATTAAACTGATGAATAATAAATGAATGTATATTACCGTTCTTTTGACTTTTCAATTAGCAATGGTCCAAATTCAAAGCATGACGTTGACATTAAATAAGTACCATGAACAATTTCACCTTGATTAAGTGTACGCTTCCGTTTAGCATAAATCAATCTGTATGTGGAATAGAGACAAAAAAGAAAGTTAGCATACTACATAATTCAACTCAGAATGTTTTTTCTTAAAAAATTTTATTCGTCTTATAAGTATATATGCACAAAGTTTAATTCTTTATTATTATTATTTTTAACAATATCAATTTTTTTATCCTGGGTCCTGAGTGGAACATAGGCCTACCCTGTAGTCCTATTTAGTTGGCTGCATTGTTCATAGTTGTTCATCCCTCTTTCACACAATCCCTATATAAATTCGCCCTAGAACCCATACCCAACTCGTATTTTCTCATTCATGTTAAACTTGGTGACCTGCCTCATGACGTCAGTTATAGGTCTTCGCAACATGAGTCCAATCCATTTCCGTATCCTTCTGCATATTTACTGCGGTTGACAGATTCTCGGATAGTTCGTTGCACTGCTAGAGTTCTTTGTTGTTGTTAATTCTTTCCTGTCATCAGACCTTCACTGTCGAGACAGCGAAGACAACTGTTGATAAAAGTCTTCAGTAGTCTGTTAGAAGCGCTTTTAATAATGCTTCAAGCCTCTGAAGTATATATAGAAGTGAAACAGTCATAGTGAACGACTGTGCTTTCAATGAATTCTTCTTCTTCAGGCTCTACACTTATAAATCCATTAATCAATTTAAGCATACAATAGCCAGCCAGCCAGCCAGTAAAAAGCAAATTAGAATCATATCAGAAATGTGTATTGTGGAACAAGTATAAGTAAGATGGGATGGAACAATAGTCAGTTAGTTTTCTAATATGCATGGTCAACGAGAACATGAGATAAAATGAGATGAAATCATCTAATTATATATATATATATATATATTCAGCAAAAATACAGGAGCTAGTTACATTGGCGCGTGTGAACATATAGCTGTATGGTTGAGTAAAGGGGTAACCAAATGCGTAAATAGTGCAGTTCCAGCCCACTCGATAGATACTGGACACTCGATAAAACTGGACTAGACATTCTTAGTTATTTACCGCGTTCCTGATGATCTATCTAGAGGAGTTTGAATAAGTCTTCTATCACTAGCTGAAGTGGTCGCAATTAATGCCGGAAGACAGACTCTTTGTATACAGAAGAAGTATGTTCAACGTTATGTTTACCCTGGCCTACAATAAGGCTGAAAAATCTCCCATAAACATTAGCACTTTAAATTCCTGTCACAATTTTCTTTTCTTCTTCTTCTTCTTCTATTCCTTTGTTTCATTGACAAGCGACTTTTTATGATTTCATGAACTTTCTTATGATTTCTCTTACCTTAGGTTTAAGTAGTGGTTTTCCATCATATTATCGTATTTACAAAATCCTGTTCATTTCACTTCACGAAATCCATTATTATTATTATTATTATTATTATTATTATTATTATTATTATTATTATTATTATTATTATTATTTGACAATCATTCAACAACAGCACTTTTAAGTTTTCACCACATTATCGTTATTATTTTACAATAATTATTATTTCCATTATTTCCAACCGTGAACTTTTGTCTAGTCCACCTCATTCATTCGTTTATTTCCTGTACTACTCATTTTGTCTCACACACCATTGATTACACTCCCCCTCGAAACCTGTAATTTTGTTCCCCATATTTATACACACACACATCATTAAATTATTTCATCTCATTTTATCTCATGTTCTCGTTGACCATGCATATTAGAAAACTAACTGACTATTGTTCCATCCCATCTTACTTATACTTGTTCCACAATACACATTTCTGATATGATTCTAATTTGTCTTTACTGGCTGACTGGCTATTGTATGTTTAAGTCAATCGATTTATAATTGTAGAGTAGCCTGAAGGCGAATTTTTCGAAGTCATAGTTTTTGATTCTATTTATTTTATTCTAAATACATGGAAGTATTGATTTCACACTTGTAATGAAAATCCCATTCTTCCATATACAGAATATTGCCGATTCCCATGCAGATTTGATGTTAGTTCTTTACACTAGCCAGTGAAACTACTGACTTATTTTTGAGTAATAAAATTGGTTTTATAAAATATTATTTATGTAAATGTTTATAGGTAACATACACTACATTGCATATTATAGCTAACTTTTTAACTGAACTGCTATTTCTAACTTTTGTATAGAAAAAACAGTAGGTAACACGTATTTGAAAGCTATAAGGTGTGGAGAAAACTGTTATTTACAGTAATTTGAGAATCCTGTAATAAATCGGTAGTACCACTTTGCGGTCACTTTTCATTACAAATACATGATGCCATCATTCCTCCAACTGAAGAAAGTCAGTGTTTTCAATACGTTAAAAGTCAAACAGATCTGTCATATCTTCCTTCTGCAAGCAAAGCGTGGACTCCAGGAGATCACACTACCATCAGCTATATACACAACAGCTGCATATATATGAGTACTTTTCTATTTTCTCTTAATTCTTTATAGCATGCCAGAGGATTTTTGTTCAAATGGTTATTATAAACGTCAACTTAAGCAAGGCGAGGTAAGAAAATTAGTTGTCCTTTCTTTACGATGAAGTGCTGAAAACAAACTAGATTGAAGGCTAGCTACTTTTTCTGCTCTACAAAGTACCATAAAAAGTGCCGATATAAGCGACTTCTGGCTTGGAAGAGCAAATGGTAGCAATACTCATATCAGGGAAACGATTCCCGAGTTTGGAAGGATACAGGATATCATGAGTCACCCATAAATGAGGAGTGAGGCTGTCATTGTTTCTGTTTTCGGAAATGGCTTCCTTAATTCAAGGGGGGAGCTGATGAGATATTGGTTTATTACAAGTCTCATAGAAAATACTGGCAAGAGCTTCACATACGTTGAAAAACTCAGACGGGTGACCTTATTTCCCTATTTCTGTATAACTTTGGCTATCGACGATATTCTGAAGACAGCTTCAAGGTATGACAGTGACAGTAGCAGTAAATATTCTAGCTGGAGAAAGATTATTAGAACTTGAGTACATGGACAACATTGTCTATCTTTTCAATGACACAGTGTCTACCAAAGCGGAACTTAAACAATTAGTGCACAAAATCTGTAAGTATCTCCAATTTCAAAGTACTGTTATAAAATTGGCAGGAACCATCTAAGGTGAACCATCAAAAGTACTCTATGGTCATATTCAAGCTGGCATACACCAACCTTGGTCACTTCAGGAAACTAAATCGATTTGTCTGTGGCAAGAAGACATTTCTTTGTAAGGCAAGAACTATAGTATGTCACGGAAAACCAGAAATTATTAGAGATGTTGAGAACATGAATACTGAAGTTCTCTGGTAAATTTTTGATATTGAAAGCAGACAAGAGGAATACATTATGAGAACACATTTAGTAGATAATCTGTAGGATTAATCCATATAGAACAGTGAATTATTTCAGATCTAAGGTGTTTCGTCAGGATATGGAGTAATTTTATTGTAGGTTACGTCACAGACCAATATTATTGAGATAATTATTGAAAACAAAGATCCAATGAACAACTCTTCAACAGTGCACGCACACGGCCCTCCTAGGAATCGAACCCACTGAACATCCAGGTACTTACTTAGCTGGAATGTAGTCACGCGTGAATTCTGAACGAGAATCCGTTTCGTCGTGGTGGACCCAGCGAGGGCCAAAACATCTACCTAGTGCTTGTCAATTTTTAATGACTCTATTAATAGTGTTGCTTTGAAAAAAATTGTTTGTTTACTCAAAATGTGATGACTGAAGGTGAAATGAAAATCTAGGTGATGGCAGGATTCGAACCAAAGCCATCCGAATGATTAGTCCTCCTCATCAATAAGGCTCAGTCACCGAAAACACCAGTGGTAATGCCCAGTGGTGCCCAGCTATTGAATGATACCTTACTGTCCTTTTATCATCACACTGTATGAGTTAGTCCTCGGTTGGCAGACTATCTCAGATGGTTTCACCACTAATTGTTTATTCAGTGAGAAATGATCAAATAATGTGGATTAAGTTTTTTTTTAAAGAAAAAGGTTACCTTGGTTCACGACTAATCGTTGGCAGTGTACATACACCACGACAGTATAATTGATAAACTCTTCGTGTATTTAATAATTCAAAATTGAATATTTGATCATATTGGCCAACTTGTTCACATCGAAAACGAATTCTTAAACGAACTTGTCCTTTAGCAGGTACAATCCAACGAAATTGATTAAGCCTATGCAGGAGAAGGATAAAAGCAACACAATGACTTTATGCATAATCTTTAAATATTGGTTTTCAAGAAAAACAAAGAAGGTATGGAAAGAAGGCAAAGTACCCGAAGATTGGAAGAAAAGATACTTATTCAAACTAACAAAGAAAGGAGACCGAAGTCAATGCAAGAACTGGCGCGGAATTATGCTCCTGTCCATCCCAAGAAAAATACTAAGCCACATCATCCTGGAGAGAATCAAAAATGCCCTGGATGAAAAACTTCTACCGGAACAGGCTGGATTCAGGAGAAACAAGTCATGCATTGATCAGATCGCCACATTACGGATCATCACTGAACAAAGCTTGGAATGGCAGTCACCTCTCTATCTCAGCTTCATCGACTTTGAAAAGGCCTTTGAAAGCGTCAATCGAGAGGTGATTTGGAACTACTTCGCTACTACGGGGTGCAACCGACAATTATACATCTCATCCAACAGTTGTACGACAATGCTGCATGCCAATTAATCCACAACGGGAAACTTACGGAATCCTTCGAAGTGAAGACGGAAGTAAGACAAGCTGACTGGCTGCCTACTATCTCCAATGATTTTCCTGATTGCAGTAGACTGGATAATGCGACAAACAGTGGGCAATGAGGAAACAGGCATACAATGGACTCACACAAAAAACTTGGAGGATCTGGATCTGAACTTCGCCCATGATGATATATGTCTGATTTCCCACAAACTGGAAGATATGCAGGTGAAAAGCAACAAGTTGGCAGAGGAAGCATCCAGAGAAGTTAGGGCGACAGGTGAACATAGAGAAAACAGAGGTGATGAAGATTCCTGAGCAACACCACCAACAGCAACAGCAACAACAGACAACAATCAGCATAAATGGGAGGAACCTGAAAGAAACAACCTCCTTTACCTACCGACCAGGGAAGCGTCGTTTCAACTACAGGCAGAACTGACGAAGATATCAAAGCAAGAATCGGAAAAGCAAGACAAGCTTTCACTACTCTCTAGTCTGTGTGGAGTCCAACAGCACTCAGCATCAAAAATAAGATCCGGATTTTCAACTCCAATGTGAAGTCAGCGCTACTATACGGATGGATCAGATACTTGCACTGCGCGTCATAAAGAGCATCTGGAACAAACTACAAACCTTCATTAACAGTTGTCTTCGCTCAATACTCAAGATCAGATGGCCGGTCTGAAAAGATCAGCAACAGGGATCTCTGGCAATGAACGAACCAACCAGGAACCGATTGTGAAACAAATAGGCAGGAAGAAATGGAGATGGATTGGCCATACTCTGAGGAAACCATCAAGTGATATCACTAGACAAGCCATGACTCGAGTGGAACCCGGCCGAAAGGGAAGCGGCGAGTTGGTCGTCAGTGCAAGGGTGACTTGGAGGAGGTCATGTGAAGAGGAGATGAAAACGTGTGGGCAGACATGGAGCCATGTGAAGACTCTAGCAGAGAACCGAACGCAATGGAGACGCACGGCTGAAGCCCTATGTTCCTCTAGGAATTAGAGGATATAATAATAATTTCATGAAAAGTACTCTCTTCAAGAGATTCTGTCTTCAGGTTCTTACAGTAATGTCAAAGGTGCATTGATGGTTCAGCGGTAGAATGCTCGTAAACTATGCACATGGCCCAGGGTTAGACCCTTAGGAGACGTACCCCTAAAAGGCCGGTATTATGCCTAGTAAGTAGGGAAGGCTAAGCTTAAAGCTAGCAACTTCATCCCGCTAAAAAACTTGACATCATTGCTACTGACACCTCAAAGCTTGAAGTTCTGTTCTCCACTCGGAATGCAGTGAGTAAAATATCATTATCATGACAGACAAGTATGCGACGGATACATTTTTACGTGGAATAAGATAATCGGTTAAACATTAGATCAGTTTCAGATATTAAGTTGGCAGAATAAATTGTTTTTCTCTAAGACACTTGTTGAGTTAGTTGTGACTACAAAATATGCTATATGCAGGAATTATTATTATTATTAATGCTTCTTTTAGTTCCTAGAGGAACATAGCGCTTCAGCCGCATTGCATTCGGTTCTCTGCAAACGTTCTCCACGTCTGCCCACATGCTTTCATCTCCTCTCCACATGACCTCCTCTATGTCATCCCAACCTCACACTGACGACTAACTCGCCACTTCCTGTTCGGGTTCCACTCGATAGTCTGTCATGTGATGTCACTTGACGGTTTCTTCAGATTATGGCCAATCCACCTCCATTTCTTCCTGCATATTTGTTGCACAATTGTTTCCTCCTGGGTTGGTTCGTTCCCATCGATCACTGTTGCCGATCTTTTCTGACCGGCCATCTGATCTTGAGTTAAGCATTGAGCGAGGACAGCTGTTGATGAAAGTCTGTAGTTTGTTCGAAGTGCCCTTCGTGACACGGCGCCAAATCTCTGATGCATCCGTATTTTTGTTTTGATTACAGCTTGATTCCACACTGTATTTTTGGTACAAGTATGGAATTTTCAGCATGTGATATCGGTAGCCCAAATTTAGCAGGCCAACCATTGATATCAGTTGTGCGTCGGTAGTTGATCAAACCCTGGACCACATGCATGGTCGGCGAGAGTCCTAACCACTGTGCCACCGACGCACACTGACTTCACATCGGAGTTGAAAATCCGGATCTTATTTTTGATGCTGAGTGTTGTTGACCTCCACGCAGACTTGAGGGTAATGAAAGTTTGCTTTGCTTTCCCGATCCTCTCTTTGATATCCTCATCAGTGTCGGTCGCCTGTATCTGAAACAATGCTTACCAGCTAGGTAGGTGGGCAGGCAAAGGAGGTTGCTTCTTTCAGATTTCTCCCATTTATGCTAATTGTTGTCTGTTGTTGTTGTTGTTGCTTTTGATGGTGTTGCCCAGGAATCTACATCACCTCTGTTTTCTCTATGTCCACCTGAAGGCCTATCTTCTCTGGACGCTTCTTCTGTCGCCAACTTGTTGCTTTTCGCTTGCATATCTTCCAGTTTGTGGGAAATCAGGTATAAATCATCGGCGAAGTCCAGATCCTCCAAGTTTTTGTGTGGGTCCACTTTATTCCTGTCTCCTCTTTGCCCGCTGTCTGTTGCATTATCTAGTCTACCGCAATCAGGAAGATCATTGGAGACAATAGGCAGCCAGTCAGCTTGTCTTACTTCCGTCTTCACTTCGAAGGATTCCGTAAGTTTCCCGTTGTGGATTACTTGGCACGCAGCATTGTCATACAACTGTTGGATGAAATGTGTAATTGTTGGCAGCAGGAATGTGATAATTATTAGATACGTTTATTTGACACACAACACACACAGTAATAGTTTTATGGCTAGCCTAGAATACCATCAAATATCAGTGAGCTTTTTCTTCTAAAGAGATACATTGACGATGAATTTCGATCTCAGAAACCTACTCCAAACCGTTAACACTGCCCACCCAAACGTCAACTTCACTACAGAAGTTAAATGTAACTCAATGTTTCATTTCCTCGATGTTCAACTGCGAAGAAATGCTGATAACGTGCTGAGAAGATCCATGTACAAAAGGACCCACATGGAATAGACAGTTTATTAGTATTCAAAGTTGTGTCCCTCCAAGCAGAAAGAGAAACCTCATATACTCTCTGTCCTCTGGAATGCGGAAAATATGAACCGAGGAATCAGTCGACGAAGAATTGCGAAACCTCTAGTTTCCCACCTAAATTCATAGATAAGAATCTAAAACCTAAAATAACGTCTGAAAAGGTCCAATTCGCCCACATAAAGATGCTAATGCTTAATCTCGAATTTAAAAGTGATACTGAGGCTTAATTTCTCCATTGACAAGCTCTCGCACTGGGCCACTCCAAAATGCATACACCAGTTCACAACATGAGGAAGACACACTGATAAGTTAGTTCATGACCATAAAACGTGTTTGATGAGTGGAAAGAGCACTAGTAGTATACAAAACTGTAAGGCCATGAATAGAATTTATTGAAAGGTATATTGTCCGTTCAGACTGTCTTTTAATTATCTAGTGTTGATTTGTGATAGGATCCAGCATAAAGTAGTAATATCATCCTTTCTCACGAATCGTGTGATTTATCCTGTAGTGGAGTTACTATGTTAATCTATCATTTCTCATGCATATTGTGATTTACTGTGTGTGACCAATTCATCGTCTTTTGTCTCACCTTGGTCTTTATCAGATATCAACCAATCAGAATAGCGATTGCTAGCCAATAAGAACAATCCATTCTCACGGCTATGAGCCAACTTTATTGTGATTAAGATAATGTACAAATATCATGTGTTGTTTCTAAAAATATACAGTGATCTTACAGTCACTGGCCAGCCTTTGTGTTTTGATATTTGCGTGGCTCAGTGAATCGGGCGGTGCGATGGACAAAGAGGCGTATTAGCGTACCAGTCGAGTCCATTAGCGTTATAACAATTAGCAGCGCAATATAAATTTGCAATTTAAGTGATTACAAGATTGATCAGCGACTGACAGCTGTCGTAATTTTAGTGAGATCACCAGCCAGTGTCACTCTTGGCGAATATTTGTCCTCACTAGCGACCGGCTGGACCCCACTAATCACGACTGCCAGCACTAGAACTCCAGGCAATTTCATCCTGCTGCTAGTCACTAGCGAGCATCAGATTAATTTTCAAGAGTTGGTTCGTAGGGATTTGATGTGTTTAAGTTTGACTAGAAGGTACTGGGTTCGAACTCCAGTTGGTGCCTACTGCCAGTGAGTCCCAATCTAGGATGAAACAGGTGTCCAGTACTCCCTGCTGGTTTTCAGTGTTTCTCTAACTGATATCAGTCCGTGGTCAAACTTACTCTTTAGTTGGTATTAGTGTGCATTCTCAGTTTTCCTACTGTTATTAACACTATTACTGCTGTTATTTCGCTACTGGATTATTATTAAATAACACATTATCTTCAAAAATTTAGGATCTTTTAAAAGTACATAGGAATGAAAAGTCTCTTATCTTGACATCTACAATATACATCTCTCTCTACTATTAGTATTCAGTTAGCAATAAGGTATACACAACAAGACACTACCTATTAAATCCCGCTAAGCTAACCGATTTCCCCAATGCAATATTACAGGAGGTCAACTGTGGCCCAAATACCCCAGTGAAAACATCTCTGATTTCAATGTTAAATGGCGCAGGTTTGAATCAGTGAGAAGACATCCATTCCTTGAAATTCACAGATCAGTGTCATTAAGCAGGAAACCTGTGCTCAAGGACTGCTGCCAATCACTCTATAAATGTGTGATGTAAATGATTATAGGCGCCACTATGACTAATTTAACAGTTTCTGTGACTTAAATAATTAGGTTTGTGTGGATTACTGTGAATCGTGACATAGACTGAAGAAAACAAAATATCCTTAACTGAGATTTAGTGTTATATGATTAAATGTGAATCAATATTATTTAGTTATTATGGGGTATAAGCAATAAGATACTTACGGTTGTCCACTTAATATTTGACTTGATTCAATGCTGAATGAAAGAAACAATAATGGAACAAATGATTAGATGATCTGAGTAAGGTTGTGCTAAACATTTAATCTCTCTTAAGCACATTATTACTGTTAGTATTATGGAGTTGACTTTGACCAGTTTACATTTTCATTGCTAATCCAACAACTTCTGTAGTTCCTTGATGTAAGTTTAGAACTTGGACACTGTGGTAGAATGTAGTTCTATATTAGATAATTTTATTTTACACATCATGGCAACGTAGGCCCTGATGCATTGGGAGGCGATCTCGCCCAGGATAATGACCACCAGATTCAACTCCAAAGGAAGGAAATTGTCAGTTATACAATGCTATGCACCCACAAACAACGCAGACCTCGAAAAGAAAGAAGAATTCTACAGACAACTACAGGCAACAATGGACAATACTCTAGTCGGCGACATTAAAATACTAATGGGAGACATGAACGCCAAACTGGGATCAGACAACATAGGAAGGGAACTAATCATGGGTAGAGAAGCTCTCGGAGAAATGAATGAAAACGGAGAACTGTTCGCCGACTTCTGCGCCTTCAATGAACTAGTGATTGGTGGCAGCGTATACAAACACAAGGATATCCACAAGGCTACACGAGTGTCACCAGATGGGCGAACCGAAAACCAAATTGACTTCACCTTAATCTCGAGGAAGTGGAGGCACCGTTTCAACTACAGGCGGAACTGACAAGGATATCAAAGCAAGAATCGGAAAAGCAATACAAGCTTTCACTACTTTCAAGTCTCTGTGGAGGTCAACAGCACTCAGCATCAAAAATAAGATCCGTATTTTCAACTCCAATGTGAAGTCAGTACTACTATACGGATCAGAGACTTGGCGCGTCATAAAGAGCATCTCAAACAAACTACAGACCTTCATCAACAGCCAGTTGTCTTCGCTCAATACTCAAGATCAGATGGCCAGAAAAGATCAGCAACAGAGATCTCAGGCAATGAGTGAACCAACCAGGAACCAATTGTGAAACAAAAAGGCAGGAAGAAATGGAGATGGATTGGCCATACTCTGAGGAAACCATCAAGTGATATCACTAGACAAGCCATGACTCGAGTGGAACCCGAAAGGGAAGCGGCGAGTTGGTCATCGGTGCAACGGTGACTTGAAGGAGGTCATGTGAAGAGGAGATGAAAACGTGTGGGCAGACTTGGAGCCAGGTAAAGACTCTAGCAGAGAACCGAACGCAATGGAGCCGCACGGCTGAAGCCCTATGTTCCTCTAGGAATTAAAGGAAACAATAATAATAATAATAATATAATAACAATAATAATAATAAACATCATACAGTGATGCAGTATTAACAACTGGACGACGCTTGAAGCATCAATTGTTGCCACTCATAATTACATCAGTTTTAGTCACATGGTTTCACAATTTATTGTATATATATATTTTTCCTCTATTCTATCCCTCCAACTTCCCTCTGCTGTTTGTTACCGCTTTCCAAATTCCCAGGATAGGTATTCCGTCATTCCGATTGCACGTGTGCAGTGTTGAATCGATGAACAAAGACTCAGTCAGTGAATAACCTATCTCTTACTTCACCTAACCAGATTACTTTTTAATACTCTCACCCTATCCCAACCTATTTTGTGATTACATGCAAGTGAATGCATTGCAGTGCAATGGCTAAGCTTTTTTCTAGGTTATTTAACTTACTAGGGTCAGTTATTCTAGGTCTAGCTAAGTTTTTATATTCCAATAATCTAGTTGACCCCAATCTGCTAGTTCGGTCAATATAATTGACCTCACAGTCATTACATGGCATTTGGTAAATTGTATTCTTTTTCTTCATTGGATCTTTCGGGTCCCTAAAACGAAAGCTTTTTTCTCTGAGATAATTGGTCGGTCGGTTCAAATGCCACCCTGATTCCAGCCTCATTGAGAATCCTTCTTAAGGCCTCTGACGTTCCTTCTTTATACGACAGTACTACAGAGACTTTGAATTCTATATTATCTTCGCAATTTTTATTCCCAATCTTAGTTTTTCTATGGTTCTTCATATATTTCTGAATAAATTCTGGTAGGTAGTGTGTTATTCACTAGTAGTAATACTTCCTTTATTTGTTTGATTTCATTATTTAAATCTTCTGACCTACTAGTTAAGCTCTTGGCCCGATTATAAAGACATTTAACTAAACCTATCTTTACCTTTTCTGAATGGGATGGATTAAAGTCTAAGTATTTGTTAGAGAGTGTGTAGGTTTCCTATAAACGCCAGTACCTAACCTACCTTGCTGTCTTCAGCTTATTCTACAGTCTAGCATGGCCAACTAACCCTGTTCGTTTTCTAACTCAGAAGTGAGTTGGATTTCGTCTACTAATGAGTTAATATATATGTACCTCCTATTCCTCTGACTATAACTTTAACTATCTTTACTACTTTTACTATTATTATCGTTATGCATCTCTTGGATTTCGGGTAGAACATAGGGCTTCAGCATTACAGTTGTGCAGAGACGTGTTCTCGGTGAACGACCTCCCTGACGCTTTCATTCCTCTTTCACATGGTCTTCTCTACGTCACTCTCGGATGCCCAGCACATTGCTTCCAGTTCGAGCGCCACTCTATGACTTCATGTATGATGACAGTCACCGGTCTACTTAGAGTATGTTCAAACCACCTCCATCCCCTCCAGTATATCTTTAGAGTAGTGGTTTGTTACCTAGTTCCCTGACAGGGACCCTTGTTGCTGATGCTTCTTCCTCACTAGTTGCTATTCGACATCAAGCGAAAGGTATTGTTAGTCGATTTGAAGCGATTTTGGTGTCTAAGCCATTTAGAAGCACTGATTTAACTGAGATTAGTGTGCTAAGTGCTTAGGATCTTCACACCGATTATAGTGTAGTCACTGCCTATCTTGGTACCCCGATACCATCCAAGCTTTGGAATCCTCATTGGTGTCGCCTGTAGTTGGGACGATTCTACACACATAAGTAAAAGTAGTGACTACCTTTAGCTTTCTATTGATGGTGCTTGTCGTTTGTGTTTAGGTATCGTTTTTACCTCTGCCTTCTTCACGTTCATCTAAAATCCTGTCTTCACTGCCTCCTTTCCCAAAATTGTTGGTTTTCACTCGTGAATCTTCAACTTCGGCAGACGTGAGATATAAATCATTCGAGAAGTCCACATCTTCTAGGGGTTTTATATCAGTTCAGTATATGCCTGTCTTATAGCTCCCTACGATTTGTTGTGTCATCAACTCCCCTACAAATAGGTGTACTACCGAAAACAGTGGGCAGCCTTGTCCTACCTCTTTCTTCATTTCAAAAACTTCAGTGATCCTTACTTTGTGAATTACTTGGCATGCGGCATCATCATATTTAAGCCTCGTTTGGAATGATACCGTCCATACGTCACCTCCACAGACGTCATCCATTTAAGTTATGTATGTATATGTATATAGGGTTACGAAAATTATGAGTAATTTTATTATAATGCATCAGAGTGTTCTGAATTTCTCTGTTCCATGCGTGACTCAGGGAACGAATAATATTAATAATCGTGTTCCGCTTAATTCAACAGTTGAAAACTAACAAACGAGATATTTTGACTGAAGTCCTAAATACTATTTAGCTCAATTTGGTGGATGGTGATTAGCAATGCTAGAATCCATGATACGCATTTCGTCTTATCTGGGACTCGTCATCTGGATGTACCTGCATTCCTCAGTGAGTGATCGTGGTCACACCAACAGGACGAATTACGCATCCTGCATTCCACCGTTAGTCACCATCCACCAAACTACGTGAAGTAAAATCCTAAGACATTGTCGAATCACCTTCGAAAGAAGCCGACATATCATCACAGGCGGAACACTTAAGTTTAACCAATCAGTGGCGAAGTTCAAAGTGAATTAAATGCATATTTTAAGAAATTTAATACATGAATATTTGAACAATACTGTACTGATAGCTACTAGATGATTTAAATGAAAGGCGTTTTGTATTTAGACATTTACCTCGAGATTTCATCGTTTACAGACAGTTGCTCTGAAATTACACTTGTAATAGAGTTACGTAAACCACTTGTAACTGACATTTTCTGTTTACGACTTGTCGTTTCACCTGAATCCGCCGTTTGATGTTTTTGACGTGGAGATTTACGTTCTTTCCTGCCAGATCGACTTACTGTTTTACGCAGTGATTCTCCAACCTGTTATTTTGTAATAGAATACATAACAATTTACGGTCATTAATCTTCAGTGGGAGGAGTAAACGTATCTCTAGTTAGCGCATAATAAAACTGTGTCGATTACGCAACACTTTATAGTTGTTTTATAAAAGTTATTAAACAGAATAGATAATTGTAAGTAAACTCTTCCAAACAAGTCAGCCCCATTTTGTACTAATTATTAATATTATTATTCCCTTGGGTTCCGAATGGAACATATTGCGGTGAGAGCTGGCTGCTAGCCAAAGTTGGTAGACGGTAATTGACATCATTGTTTATGTCCCCAATATTGGTGGTGAGAAAATGAGAACAAAGGCTTTACGTAGACGGATGCAGTTAGCATATGGATGATCTGACACAGCCACAAAGAGATGCAAGGTTAACTTTCTGTGAAAAACAACCAATCAAAGACTGTATTTTCTACTAACAATAATCTAAAATAATGTCGGTCGGTCGGTCGGTTTTCGACATAGAACTTTGCACATATGTGCGGCAGTTCAAGTCGCCACACTCCATGTAGCACACAAAGCAAGAGAAGAAAGTAGAAGAAATGCATAATATAGACAGTAAACAGAGGTGTGAGACAAAGGAATAGTAATAACGGAGAACAAAAGTTTAATTGGAAGTCATAAGTCACAAGGAGTGGATGCATCTGCGCCACTGAGAACGATTTTGAGCCATGTCACCAATTGTTTCCAACCATTGGTTTTTACCATCCCGAGGGCCCCAACCAGGAAGTCTACATCTTCCTACGTGGCTTAGATTAACTGTTGTGGATTTCATTGATTGGTGCCATGTTTTGGTTTGACCGCCGCTAGCTCTTTTCCAGCCTGACCCTATATCAGCTAACATTGCCCGTCGAGGAAGGCGATGACTAGGCATTCGTAGCACATGTCCTAACCATCTCAGTCGAAGTAATTTCACAGTCTCGTCGATTGATTTCCCCGCCTTACCTAGCACTCGACGCCTAACCTCAATATTGCTCACCTTATTATACCACTTCACGCAGGAGATAGAACGCAGACACCTATGATCGAACACAGCTAATCTTTTCATGTCTTCCAATCTCAATGGCCAGGTCTCACAGCCATAAAGGAGGACGGAGCGGACTGTTGAGCAGTACACACGCCCTTTGGTCGATAGTCGGATATCGCGTCTACGCCAGAGACGGCGAAAACTGGCGAATGCGAACCTAGCCCTCTGTATTCGTGCTGAAATTTCGTCGGAGATCAACCCGTTGGGGCTGATGGTACTTCCCAAGTAAGTGAAGCGGTCAACGTGCTCTACCACTTCACTTCCTATTTCTAATCTAGGGGTCGATGAAGTCCAATCCTGCAGCATCATCTTACATTTTTTAGGGGCGAATCGCATGCCAAACATGCGGAGATTGTTGCTCAGGGTGTTCAGTAGACTCTGCATTTTGTCAGAGTCCTCGCCTAGAAGGACTATATCGTCCGCATATTCTAAGTCAACGAGATTCTTCCCTGGTAGCAAGTCAATCCCTGAGTCGCTGAAGTGTGTTAGGGTTAAGTCCATTAGTACATCTATGATGAAGTTGAATAGAAATGGGGATAATGGGCATCCTTGACGGACGCCACTAGTCGTCACCACTTCAGATGACAACTCGCCATAAGCCCTCACCTGGCTGCATGAGTACGAGTAGAGTGCCTTAATCAGTGCAATGTATTTTCTTGGCATTCCCTTTACAGCCAAGCATCGCCAGAGAACCTCCCGGTCGACAGAATCGAATGCCGCCTTTAGGTCAAGAAATATAATGATTGTCGGACGCCGGTAGGAATGCCTATGTTCTAGAATCTGTCGAAGGGTGAAGATGTGATCAATACACCCTCTACCTGGCCTAAAACCTGCCTGGTTTTCTCGTGTTTGTGTCTCCCGAGCACCACTTAATCTACGCAGTATTATTGAGCCTAGGATTTTAGATACTATATTAGTCAAGCTAATCCCTCTGTGATTATCACAAGACGACTTGTCCCCCTTCTTGTATATCGGGATGATCAGTGACTTACACCAACCCGATGGGACTTCCTCTGATTCCCAGACGCTGCCTAGAACCTCAGTTAACGCAGACAGTAAACTGTCTCCACCATACTTAAATACCTCTGGAGTCAATCCATCAGGTCCCGCTGCTTTGCCTTGTTTCAGATTAGTGGCAGCTTTAGTAACCTCAGTTAAGGACGGAGGACCTGTGTCTACCTCCCATTCAGGGAGGTGTTGGATGTCCGGTAGGTTAAGTGTGGCTGTGGGCCAATTAAACTGCTCCTCATAGTGTTCTTTCCAGCGCTCCAGACGTCTATCCTGGGAGCTAATTATGGTGCCATTTTTCTCGGAGATTGTTTCGCTTATCATTTGCTTTTTACCACCTGTTTCCCTGATAAGCCTGAATAGTTGTCTGGTGTTGCCTATCGCCGATGTTTTTTCCATCTCTTTCGCCTTAGTCAACCACCACTGTTCACGGTCCTTGCGTAGACTTTTCGTAAGTTTCTTTTTGTGCAGCTTTCGCTCCTCATTGAATTCGGAGCTCGCCGGAATAAGTCTTCTAGCATCTATCAGTTCGGATGAGGCAGTCGAAATCCAATGGTTTTTACTCACCTTTGGATTTACCTTATTCACAGCTTTTACAGCTGTATCTATGGCTGACTGAATATTCTTCCAGGCTTCTTCAGGGTGAGCGCAGCTGTCAAACTCAGATATGTGTTTAGCTAGTTCTTCCTCAAATAGGGACTTAGTTCCCTGGTCGAGCTGGGGACGTGATGGGTTTACCGCTCGCTGTTTCCTACGTCCGTTCAGTCGTAAGCACACACGAGCGCGGACCAGTGCATGATCGGTATCTACACACGTGTTCCAGAAGGAGCGACAATCTCCTACCGACCCACGCCAACGATAGCTTATTGCTATGTGGTCTATTTGTGTCCAGCGTTGATTTGATGATGGGGGTCGCCAGGTCAAACAGTGTCTCTCCTTGTGTTTGAAGTTAGTGCTTACAAGATACAAATGATTATCTGAACAGAACTGTAGGAGACGGTCACCGTTGTCGGTTCGCTGGCACGGAATTCCGTATGTGCCACCAACATTCTTCTCAGATTGACACAATTTCCCTACTTGAGCATTAAAGTCACCAGCTAAAACGACTATATCTGAGCGTCTAGCCTTTCGCAGCAAACTAGACAGCTTTTGGTAGAACTCATCCTTCGTTTCATCCGAACTGCAGTCAGTGGGGGGCGTAGGCGGAGATTACGAAAAGGCATCGGCGAGTAGTGCAGTCCTTTCTCCTTTTCACTGATCCGTTCAGGCGGACAGCGCACATTCGGCTATCTACCGGGATCCAGTCAAGTAATGTCTTTTCTGCTCTAGTACTTAAAGCTATCCCAACACCAGCTAATCCTCGTGAGCTAGCCGTCGCATCTCCTGACACCCTCAAGGTGAATTTTGCAGATTCATCCTGTTGGCCAGGTGGGGTTAGGTGAATAACCACACTTGGGTCTTGTATGCGTGTTTCTGAAACACAACATACATCAATGGCTCGGGATGCCAGAGTCTTGGCTAGAGATGCTTGTTGTCCTATTTGGCAGAGTGTCCTAACATTAAATGCTCCTATATAAAATTGGTGGCGTGGTTTTAGGAGACAATCGGTGGTGGCTTTTTGGCTTCCATCGTTATCAGTGCACACAGAGTGAAGGGGAAGTGAAGAGCCAACAAGTAGAGGAGTTGCATTGGTAGAAGGAAGGCAAGATAATAGAGATGAAGACAAAGATGAGCGAGGATTAGAGGGGTACAATAAAATCTATAAATATGTGTTGATTTTCCGTAATAAACGATCTGTTGCCTGGCCCTTGTCTTCTGCTGTTACAATATAGCTTCAACGACACATCTCCACTTTGTTATATTTTCTATGGTCCCCTTAAGCAGGGTCCGTGATTGCCATTACTCTGTCATCTCCTCCTCAGATAATCTCTTCCACGAAACTCTCGCACGGACGATCCACTCGTCGCTTCCCCTCCGGGTTCCATTTGAGCAGTGGTCCGCACTGAGCGCTACGTCAATCGACGACCTCCTTAGCGTATGCCCCATTCACCCACATTTTCCACCACATATTTGTTGAATGATCGGCTCTCGGCTGGTTTGTTCTCAGCCAGAGTTTCTTGTTTCTAATTCTTTCTGGCCATTTGATCTTCACTATAGTGCCGGAGTAGTTGGCAGCTGTTGATGAAAGTCTGCAGCCTGTTGGCAATGATTTCCGTGACACATAGTGCAAGTTTCTTACCCTTATGGAAGGATCAAATTGACATTGGCGTTAAAAATGCAAATCTTGTTCCTTATGCTGAGTGTAGAAGATTTCCAAACTGGTTTCAGGCTGCCTGCTTTGACGTCTTCATCCGTTCCGCCAGCCTGTAGTTGGAACGATGCTTCCTAGATAAGTGAAGGAAGTAACCTGTTTAGTCTCTCCCATTGGTGGTGACTGGTGCTGGTTGTTGTTGCCGTTGGTTGGTTATCTTCATCACCTACGTTTTCTCTATGTTCACCTGGAATCCTGCCTTCGCCGCCTGTCTCTTCTGCCAGTTTGTTGCTTTTCACCTGTAAGTCTTCGAGTTTGTGTGAAATTAGATATAAATCACCCACACACGAGTCTTCTTATCTATGGTGAAGAGTATTCCTGTTTCATCGCTTCCTTTTCACAGTCTGACACATATTCCAGTTCACTACAATTAAGAATATCATCGGTGATAACAGACAGCTCTGTCTTACTCCTGTATTTACTTCGAATGCCCCGATTAGTTTCCCGTTGTGGATCACTTGACACGTGGCACTGTCTAATAGCCAACTGTTGAATGAGGTTGATAATGATTTGGGCATCGTATGCCGTAGTGTTGAAGTAGTTCCCAAATTACTGCTAGGTCAACGCTGTCTGATGAAGGTCTTTTCGAAATAAATATTGTACAAACTGATAGCATTTATAGGTTATATCATCAAAGACAAGATTTCGTTATTGTCAAATTCTCTGTGTATTTGCCAATTCACTAACTCCTATGAAGCTATCTACTTAGGCCATAATAACAGAATATCGCCTGGACGTGTTCATGAACAGTTGTCAGCAAGGTTATCACCCGGAGAACACAGAACAGTCAGCGGCTCAATTCTCCAGCATTTTATTACTTCTAGTCATACAGCATCAGCAGAAACTTCTTTCCGTCATCTACAGAGTACAAAACGTTTAGAAACTGTTTTGCCAACATCTTCTTCAAGCAGCCAAAGCCTTAGCAATCCTTAATGAGAAACCCCAACTTTACGTTCAGGGACGTTATATCTAGCCTATTTTACTGCCTTTCGAGTCGGTGGTACAGTGGTAGAATACTCGCCAACCATGCCTCATGTGGTCCGGGGTTCGATCCTCGGCCGACGTACTCCTTTACCTTACTAAGCCATTTAATAAGACTAGTAAAGAGAGGAGGTTGCGCATTAGGCTAGCAACTCCACCCAGTAAAAATAAACACTATTGCTACCGAAGCTTCAAGCCTCTAGCTTTAAGCCTTATGTTCCAATGGGAACGTAAATGAAGAAAAAAGAAGAATTTTACTACCGTAGTACTAATTTTTATTTCTTATTTTTCCTTCTTTGTCCACTTAAATAACTGCTCAATGAGCTGTGTGTAGTGCGTTTTATGTTTCTACAACTCATTTTCAAACTTTTGTTCTCTCGTCTGCTATAAAACATGTTCAAACTATTATGCATTACTAAAATAATTGGTTGTCAACACTCTTGATTACGTAAGACTTTGCTTCATTTTTCAAACATAACTGTGCACTTTAATTTACTTTGTTACTAACTGTTAGTGACCTTTGATCTGTGTCGTCGACCTACATTGCAGTGTTTACACCCTCAATAACTGTAGAGTTATGAAGTGAAGTTACGAACAAAGACATCTAACCGATGCCAGCTCATGATGAAATCCTGTAACCAATCAATCAAATCCCTGCAAACCAGTAGTTGAAAGATCCCTTTGCTGTCTCCTCTTTTCTTAATTACATGAAATGAAAACTTTTCATACCATAAAATTTAAAACGCTAACACCTTTAATCATCTAAATAACTGTAAAAGAATTGATTGTGACATCAAACTACCAACTAAACTCTCGCATAATTCAACTGTGCTCAATCAGTTGAGGTTTGTATAACCAAGTAGTAGTGTATCTTCAAAACATACTACAGGATATTTAAGTGACTTCTTGAAACATATGAAATGAAAAAAAATATTAGTGCTGAGTGATTGCAGAATCAAGGGGAAAACTGCTTGACATAGGTCACCCAGAGACTGTTTTAAAGTGAATTTCAAAGTTGTATTTGTGTGGAGATATCACCACTGGATGTGGATCTACATAGAGTAAGTCAAGATGTACATTCTTTCAAGTGTGCCGCTTAAGAGCTCTCTTATCCAGAGTTCAGAGGTAACATCATTGGCCTGCTGGTAATCTAAGGAAAACATCATGCGATTGGTAGGACCTTAATTAGAAGAAGTACAGTTTAAATAACTCACATGATTGTGGTAACTTACTTTAATCTAACCGGTATCCAAGTGACCTTAACGCTATCACAGTATTGGAGAGAATAAAAGTTCCAGCCACTGCGAATCCTCCGGTCAATGAATTCGGCAAACACAACCACCACTTCAAGGTAGCAGTTATCTGTTGGGATGACATTTAACCGGTGCTAATATGCAAAATGTTGGAACTTCACGCACTGCCACTAAAAACTAATTTCCTTATTCACCTCAGTTGATCTGTCTAGTAGTACTCAGTGTAAATACCAAGATTCAGATTTTTGACACTACCGTCAAGTCAGTTAGTGCTTCCATATGATTAGGAGACTTGGCGAGTCATCAAAAGCATTTCCAATATGCTACTGCTGGCTTTCATCAACAACTGCCTTTGCGCCATACAGAGGAAGTGCGGCAGTGAGGTGGACCAATCAAGAACCTGTCGCACGATAATTATGCAAAAAGAAAAGGAGATGGAATGGATATACGTTGAGTGACATCGCTCACCACGTCCTCGAGTGAAACTCGAATGGTATATAACGAGTTGGGTTATGAAGCATGACATGAAGGAGGCCGTGTGAGGGCAGTATAAGAGTTTATAGACAATCGCGAAGCCAGCCAAAGAAACTACGACGAATGGAGTCAAATGGAAGTGTGCCGCTGATGTCTTATATTCTACTTGGAACCTAAAGGAATACTAATAATGACAGCTGGGTTTTTCACGTTTTAAATAACTTTTTTAACTGATTTTAACGACTACAATCATCAATAAAATAACTTCCTTTTGTTTAACTGAAGATTCCACAGTATCCATTTCTTCTTCAATTGAACCAGTAATTTGTGAAAATCCACCAAACTGCGCTGATGTCATCACAGGATCACCTTGTCCAGAATATAAGAATTCAAAATATTTTAAATTGATTATACACGTCTTGTGATCACTGATTTTTGCTGACTTTTTCAATGATTTGTTGGCTGTTTTATCACCACCACAGGCTGAATGATTTTCATTGACACTAACGGATGTACTAGTTGTTGTTTCTCTATACAACGGATAATGGACAACGGAAAAGTTATTTGGTTTTGGTATTGGTGGTCCATTCGGTCCAATACCAAGATGGTCCAGTATTTCATTTAATTCTGGTAAATGTGGATACAATAACTGATACAATTCATTGGATAGCTTCTCTTTCTGTTGTTGATGCTTTTTGTGTGCCCCTTCTTCTTCTTCAACTCCTTCTGACATTCGATGCATCTCATGATCATTGGCTGGCATCAGACTTTCTTTAATTGTTTTACCAATTAAATTTTGTACATAAATTGTATCTGAATTGTTCAATATTGAAGTGATTTCACCGCTAATCTCTACAAAACACAGTGTTAGGGAGGAAAAACAAATTCATAAAGGTTATTCAGTAAAATTACTTTGAATTTATAGTCAACTTATTTTATTTTTATTTTAACTAACATCCTAAATGCTTGTTTCTCCAAAAATGTCGTACCTGTTGCATGGAAAGACATTAAAATAGTCCCTGTCCCTAAACATGGAAACAGCAAGAACGTAAAGTTCAGACCCATTGCCATCACTTCCCCGTTTCTAAAGCTTATGGAAAAACTAGTACTTCTTAAACTTGAACCCTCCCTTAAAAACTTTGAAGACCCCAAACAATTTGCCTATAGACAGGGTAGGAGCACTTTAGACGCTGCAGCCGTCTTACACAACAGTATAGTCTCATCATTAGATAAAGGTGCCAAATACGTCCGCTGCACGTTTCTTGACTTCACTTCTGCTTTCGACTCTGTACCTAGATGTCTCTTGCTAAATAAGCTCTCTATGACAAAAATTGAGTCCTGGGTCACTAACTGGCTGTACTCCTACTTCTCTAACAGAAAGCAGTACACCGTATACAAAGGTAAATCCTCCTCTGCTGTGCTCACTGAAGCTGGTGTCCCCCAAGGTGCTGTACTCTCCCCACTTCTCTTTTCTTCCTTTCTACATGACTTACCATCTTCAAATGACATTAATTTTGTTAAATATGCTGACGACCTGACTGTATCTTTGCCTGTCAAATGTCAAAGTGACTGCTCCAAACTAAATGGCTTTTTGTCAGAAATCAGCCAGTGGTCCAAGGAAAACGGTCTTACCTTAAACCCCTCTAAATGCCAAACAGTCAATTTCACCTTTAGGCATAAATCTGACCTAAACAAACTGGTTGGCTCTCACGAGGTATACAACATAGATGGCACTGAAATAGAAACCAAGTCGGAAATTAAATACCTAGGCGTCATTCTATCTGCTGATCTCTCCTGGTCGTCTCATATCTTGGCGATTTCTAAGAAAATATTCCGTCTTACCTTCTACATCAAGAAATTAAGACATTCTGGTATAACCCAACCCTTACTCCTACAATTCGTTAACTCTCGCATTCTGCCTATTATTCTCTATTGTTCCCCCTTAGTTTTTCCCGGGCTACTGAAGAAAGACTATAACATATACGCAGGATGTTGAAGGTTGTTAGCAGGGTAAGCAACGTGCCACTTAACCAGCTTGTTAATATTCTGGTTGACAGGCACATGGACTCATGTGAAAAATGGGCCAAATCCATTTTATCTAACTCACACCACCCTCTTCATTCACAACTCTCCCCCTGCATCTCATCAGGTAAAACCAGAAGCCAATATAGAAAACTATATGCTCGCACTAGCAAGTACAAAAACTCAACCATACCCTACTTAGCTCGTGTTCTGTGCGATAAAGAAAGCATTAGGCGTGACACCTATAATTCATTAAATAGTCAGTAGAACAACTGGATCTCGTCTTTCCAACTCACATCATCAATAGGTACAACATTTTCTTTCTTTCTTTTCCTTTTCTCTCTCTCTTTTTCTCCGTTATGTGCTGCTTTGTTTCTTTCTCTCGCTTACGCCAGTTAATAAGACAGCTCCTACTTTTCTAACACCTTCAAACACTGTTTCAGCTTTACCTTTGCTACCGACATGCCAATATGTTGTTGTCATAATGAACTGAGATTTCCTTAATCTATGTAGAATTCTATTTATTGATAATGTACTAACTGGATGCAATACTGTAGTAAAAATGCTGAGAATTCCATTCTGTATCACAAGTACTGTTTTGGAATAAAGTAAATTATTGTATTTATCAATTCAACTGCGCTTGTGGAGCGAGTTATGTTGGCCGTTGCTCTAGGAACTTGATTTTTCGTGCTCGAGAACATATCCCACTATGGCTAAGTAAAGGTGTAGTTAAAAGTATTAACAGCTCGATATTAGACCATCTGGTGCAAACCGGTCACAAAGCCAGCGTAGACGAATCCTTCTCCATAATATACCGGGTGCCCAACAAACTACCAAAATCCTCGAAGCACCGCTTACTCCAAACAGCAGAGGCTATTGCAATTCGCCTCAAACAACCAGCGCTCTGTGTCCAAAAGAAACAAGTCCAGCCCCTACTACTGCCCTGGCCCTCAGTAGAGACTATAAACTCATGAATTTGTACCATTACCTTTCCTAATTCTTCTGACATTCAGTTTAATTGATGTTGATGCTGTTCAGCTGTAATTTATCAGTATTATTGATTTGATGTTATTTAAACATTAATGTCGTTCATAAGACTAATTCATTCATTCATTATAATGTATATATAATTGTAGAACCTGATGATGAATTTATCGAAAAGAGTTCTCTTTGTTCAGTGTCTATTCTTTTGTAAATTATTATTATTATTATTATTATAGATATAAGAATAGAACATTGGACACTGTGGCAGAGTGTAAGTCCATCAGAGAGTAAATTTATTTGATAAAGTCTCATAGTAAATAATATTGTATAACACTGTATCAGGCGTTTTTCTAGACTACTTACCTTGACAGTGTCAATTATTGTAGTTTTAGCTAAATTCCTATATTCTGATGATGTAACTGACTCCGACCATTTTACTTAACAATATTTTCACCGTATTACTTGTGACCTTGACATGTACAAATTTCGACCTGCATTGTAATCATTTATGCTCTCTTGCCTTCTGTTTAAATGTGTATATCAAGTACGTGTGTGATCGGAATGCCCGAAATGTAGTGCACAAACGCAATACACGTTTCAGATAAATTACGCCTTCTTGTTTATTGATTTGTTGGAATATCCCGTACTTTTTTGCTAGAATGCCACAAAACCAAGGTACTACTGAAGGGCTGCTTCGTTCTAGTTCGGACTCTTCAGTAGTACGCGCCCATAAGCCCATCAGCTACTGAACCTAAGACCTTCAGATTAAGAAGCCAGCCCGTTGACCAGCTAACCACTGGGAATGAATCTGATGGCTCATATATTTTAACTCCTACCGATTCGCATCAAATGTTTTGCTGAGGATATTCAAAAGTTGGAAAACAAATATATATATGTAATTTCTAATTACCTTCAGTTATATTAGTCTCTTTTCTGAATGGTATTTCAACAATTAAATGTGGTATACCAATTATTTGGGAATCACTATCGCCTGAATCTTTTTCAACTTTAATTTCATTTATTGAATCATTGAATTGACTTGAATCACAATAAATTGGCAATAGAACAGTCATATTTTCTTGTACACTTTGTATATTGCTTGAATCCACTTTACCAATTGAATGTTTTGATTTGTTTAAATTAATACTACTACCAGCATTTGGCGGGAAATTTAAACCACTCTGTCTAGCACGTTTGCCGGCAGGTAAATTGACAACAGTTGATGTTGGACTATCTTCACGACCTTCTAATAAGGATGATTGTTGTTGTAATGTTACACGATTCCATGTACTAAGGAATTCACAGATACTTCGAAATTCTCCATCAAAAGACTTAAAACTGAATAAATAAATAAATAAATACAGAAAATTAGGTACATTTGAATTAAATATTAAATGACGTAACACATAAATTAAACAAGCCCTCCATTATAATAAAGGTTTTTTGTATTTCTCAATGAATGAAAAACAAAACGATATTGTTGCTTTACTGACGTTTTGCTATTTAATGCTGGTGCTAATAGCTCTATCAAAGTAGTAATATTAAACCAGAATTTAGAAAATCTCAGAATATTGTAAAAGATTCATATGATTTCAAATCCCAAATACAACACCGAGTAATTGATAAAGAAGACATTATGGTAAGCTATGATATTAACTCATTATATACTAGTATCCCTATTACCGAAAGTCTTGATATCATTTCCAGTTTACTAGAATCAGATACAAAACTATCATAAAGATGTCCACTGGACACCAGTGAAATAATTAAGTGCTTAAAATTCTGTCTAGAAAGTAATTATTTTACATTTAAGGAGAATTTATATGGATAGACAATTGGTATTGCTATGGGTTCACCAGTTTCCCCCATGGTCACTGTCCTTTTCATGAATAGATTTGAAGATAACATCTTTTCAAACATACTCACCCCTAAAATGTGGTTAAGATATGTAGATGATACTTTTGTAGTGCTAAAACGAGATCTACACAATTCATTCCTGGAGGAAATACACATTCGATCTCCCAGAATCCAGTTTACTTCGGAAGCAAAATCAGACATCGGTGAACTGCCATTTCTAGACTGGCTGCATAGTTAAATATACCTATATTCAGGAAGAAAGCCCACTCCAACAAATATTTAGACTTCCGATCATCACACCCCATCAGCGCAGAAGTATCAGCTGTTTCAAGTCTTCTTAGACGAAAACACTCTTTGATGTTAACGGATGAGAAAGAAAAAGAAGAAATATCAAACATTATTGAGACTCTCAAACAAAATAACTACTCAAAGAACTCCATGAACAAAATCAACATTGACATTAAGTACCATCGAAAACGGATTCCGAAAACATGGACCTCAGCAGTTGTCATTCCATGTAGAGCAGACACGTCATGAGATATCAGAAGAGTACTCAATAAGCTCGACATCAGAGTTTTATTCAAAGCATCAGACATACTGAGAATCAACCTTGTCCATATAAAAGACCAGGAGATACAATTACATCATTCATGCAGAATTCAAATGAGTTCATTTTATACTAAAACCTGCGCTTAAGATGTTGTCTACAATCATCTCCTCAGAAAATACAACTAATTCAAGACAGTCTTCGTTCTGAAGACTATTATTAATGCCATGGGTGATTTCTAAAGGTGTAATGAATGACGCCATTCAGACCATCGACTTGCTCATGGCAAATCCTGTTGTATACAAGCTGCAAGACCCAAATGTTAGTCAGGTTATCGTCTCACTGTAACCGCCATGGGTGGCGCCATGTCGTCATTTGAGTGAATGATATATAAGCGTTTGTTAAATTCCGGAATAGATATCCATCTACGTCTCCTCTGTTCATTGTGGTTAAGCACAACAACAAGTGGAAGATTCAAACTGTTTCAGGATTCTGATTTTCCCTTAACCTTCATTCGTCATCTATTACATTGATGACAGTCTGCCGAAACTAGGCTAACTAAGAGTGTTTCACTACCAATTAATAACAACACCATACAAATAAGTCAACTTACTAAAGTCATACTGATGTTATTGTCAAATTTTGATCTTGTTTTATTAACTATAAGCTTTCATGTCTATTCATATAATACTTTCTATTATGTTAATTAGTTTCAAGTTATTTAGATAACGTGTAACACTAACGAATACCGATCCATTACCATTTATGCTCTTCTTTACGTTAACTAATGTTAGTATTGCCCAAAGAGTGAGGTGAATTCATTCCTTCTTTTCTCACCAACTATACATCAACCTGAATAATGGTGATACTCTCTAACTGTCCAAAGCTTTTAAGGGATATACCCCTACATACTAGTGCTTTAATGTGCGTGTGTGTCAATTCACCTGCTTTTTTTACAACAAAGTTTATGGGTCGTGCAAAAACGAGTTAGAGAAAGCCATACAGCATAGCCAGAAATGTTCGACTTCTTTGCACTGGAGAAGCCCTTGCTGTATGCATGAAGAAGCAAGAGTTGTATTCAAAATAAGCTAATTAAACCCCTAGTGGGAAGACCATATGCATTAGTGGTATAAGCATAAAACTTGGGAACTGTGGTAGAGTGTAACTCCATTATGGATAAGATATTATTTTGATAAATCATACAGTGTTGTATAGTAATATTTACTGATGACGATTCGAGCACAAATTACTGCTCATAATCATTTCAGTGTGCATTTCCTCCTTTTTTAGAATCGTTATCTGGATGTACCTTCATTCCCCAGTGAGTCAGTGAGTGGGTGATGGTGCCAAAATGTTTGACCTCTGTTGAAATGCAATCAATAAACAGGAAAGTTCATAGTGAATTAAATGATGGCTGATACCCATCACACAATAGGCGGCTCTTTTGGCTTAAGTGATCTAGTGGATAACGCTTTGGTGTTTGAAACTATGGGTGCTGGGCTTCAGCCCTAGAGTAAACACCATTACCCACTCACTCACTCACTGGGGAATTAAAGTACGTCCGGATGACGATTATGAAATAGGACGAAATGCGCCCCTGGATTCCACTTTTAGTCGCCATCCAAAAAACTACTTGAAGTTAAACTTAGTTATTAGCTCACTACTACATTAATTCTTAAAAAACGAACTTACATTTGGTAGGCTAATTGTTCTTCATCTGTCATACGCGTTCCAGTCTCTTCTTCAGTTATTGCTTCATCTTTGAAACTGGTAGCAGATTTACGGTGTTTTTCATGAGATCTTGATGTTCTACGACTTTTAAAAAGATGAAATTAGTTTTTACATTATTTTACCTTAAAAGGTTAATTTTCTTATCAACATTTAATTAAATTCTTAACAGAAAAACTGAAGAATGAGAATCCATGTCTAGTTTATTTCTTAAACTATTTAGAAATCGCTAAGTAGATTGTTTTTCATTCCCTTTTCCTTTAACTTATTCGAAAGATTTATTACTATTATGTACTGACAACGTCCACTTCACATTTGAAAATGAGCACTTTGGATAAGTGAATGGTGGTGCTTTAGGGAGTCCATTAGGACATTTGTTGGTTGTTTTTTTAATGTCTTATATTGAAAACCTACCCTTTGATTTAACTGCTAAAGTTCCTTTCTATAGAAGATATGCAGACAACGTTATTTTGATATGTGATGATCATGAAGATCCGAGTCGTCTAGTTGATAGGCTCAACTCCTTAAGGAACCATATCAGTCTTACGTGTGAGGAGGAAGGTCTCAACCAGCTTATATTTTTAGACATATTTTTGAGTCGGAGAGGTGACTGTCCAATAAAGCGACCAATTTACAGAAAACCTACTTGGACAGGGAGATATTTAAATTTGGTGGAGTCCTTATTCAAGAGAGATCAACTTATTTTTACAGCTGATGTTACAGAGGATGAAAATAAAATATCATCATAGATACTCTTGTTGGAAACGGATACCCTTTGAAGTTTATAAACCGGTGTAACAGTCAGCTGGTTTTAAAACCTGTAATCTCTTCTGTCCGTAAGAAAGATGTCTTTGTTAAATTACCATACAATGCGGCCAATAAAATGCTTCACTACAAACTTCAAAAGTTCACAAGTGATTATGTCACACCCCATACTATACACCAACTTACGTATGTGTGTGGATACACACATAGGGAGGAGTAGTCGCGCTGTGCATGTGAGGGTCTGATAAACTTTAGAAAGTCGATAGACGACCTCGTCTACAGCTAAACACCTAATCCATATGAACCACAGGGTTGATATCAAAACAACTTTTAAGGTTATTTTTAAAAACGGTTACCGGCGCTTAGTGAAATACGCTGAGGCGATAGCTATTCGTAAGCTTAAGTGTCCCCCTCCCCTGTGTGCAAAAGACAATTCGTCATTACTCTCAAACTACCTTGGTAATCCTTATCTGACTAGATAACCTAACGAGATGTTATTTATTCTTATTCTTAAATCCTTTTTGTCACTTTTTGTATCATAACTGGCCTTTATTTTCTACATAAATTGACTTGACAAGTGAATATGTCATCAGATTGTTCGAAATGTACTGCGCAAATACGTCACATTTTTCAGATAATCTCCGTAGTTGTCTAATGTTAATTGTGTTGTTCGGAATTAATCGATCAGATACACCCAGTAGATCGACGTCCCTGGTGACTGCTGTTTGATATCACACATGGGACTATTTAGAGAGCAGGGAACCCCACACATTCTTTGTTTCCTACTTACCACCCACGGTGAGGCGCATCTGGAGGTGTAGCAAAACCCACGTTACTTAATGATCCAAGTTTATTCTTCAGACAATTGCTTCTCCTTCTCGTAACTCAGTGACTACAGTTAGAGATTTTAGCCAGAGAAATACCCTACCTCCTTTATTAAAGCTTCAATACAAACTTCATATTTAAAGTTTCAGAGTCCGGACCCAATGATGAAACTCACCAAAGTACTTGATAAATATGAAACACACACAAACCAAAAGTGTGGTCGTTCTCTTAAATCCATCTGTAAAACATGGTATACCCATAGATGTTAGAAGATTAATTGTCTAATTCTTACTGACTTTCTAGTGTAGTGGCAGCATTCATTTCAAGGGCAAAATATGACTGCCCAATTTCATCTCATTGTCTAACCACTTGTGCTTTGTTGGTTGTTGACACTTTTAATTGCAAATAATCCACCTGAGCTACAAATCTTCTTTATGATGACACTTTCTGATGCATTTTCATAAACTTTGCTGCATTTCGGACTGCATGAAAGATAAATTTTTTTTAAAGGTTGTCTATTTCACTGGTAAAAGCTGAATACCTAGATATGACTGTCCAAGGTGACAGTTTTAATGGTCAGAGCTGTTCCTAAAGTATATTTAGAGCATATATTGTGTCTCATACCGACGAACTAACAATGCTATTCTGATAACTATCTGTTCCTTGCGAACGCAAACTTCGGAAGAGATTGCTCCACTTAGCAACGGCCAACATTAGGCCAACGATGAATACAGAGACAGTGTTGGGTTAAGGGCGGAAATTCAGTCGGTTAAGTTGTGAAGTTAAACAGAGTGAGGTAACTAGGACACGTCTAAGACATGCTAATCCTGAACGAGTCATGTCAGCTCGTAAATAATATATGTATACATATATATGGTTTAACTTACGTTTCCTCCAGTGTTCCCAATGGTGATTTCTCTATTAATTCTGTTTTGGCTGTATTACCACTATTATTATTATTTCCAATGTCTTTTGCAGACTTTGAACTCATTCGACCTGATAATGCTCGATTCTCTTTCAATGAAATTTGATTTACTGCATTCGGCTTTGTCGACTTTTCATCAATTCGTTTACCTCGTTTTCTGTTACTACAAAAACAATGGAGATATTAAGTATATTATTGGCGATTTCAGAAATTAAAGGAAATGGTGAATAATTCCCCCAGGTAAACAGTTCAAATATTCCAATTATGGTAATGACAGAATACAATTCAAGCAGACAGTTATTTTAGGTAATTTCTTGTCAGAATTTGCATTTATATAATAAAATTTTATTCATAAAAAAGATGGCTTTGTTTTGAATAACTTCATCCTCAGACGACGTGGAACAGGTAATATATCCATTATGGGTAAAATTTATTTTGATAAAATCACACAGTGTTTGTTATACAGTAATTTACTGATGCCACCACGTTTCCAGCACAATTTCTTATTGCCACTCATAATCACATCAAGGTACTCACTCACACAACTTTCTAACTTCGTTTAGATAATTCCATTATTTTTCAGCGCTTGACTTGATTGGTAGTAGTATTTTCCATATTTCCGGTATGAGTGATGAGTCATTCCTATGGCATGTGTTGTGTTGGCTGTAAACTCGATGAACCAGGCAGGATTCAGTAATCAACTTCTCTCTCTCCACCTACCTATAATACTTCTTAGAACTTTAACCATCTACCACCCTTTTGCGTGGTTGTGTGTTAATGCATGCAGTGCAGTCGCTGAGATTTTTTTCTAAATTACTTATCTTCTAGGGGTCAACCGTTCTAACCTCAGCTAAATTCTTATGTTCAAATAATCTCGCAACTCCTGATCTACTAGATTGATCTATTTAGTTGACTTAACTCTAAGTCATTGCAAGGTATTTTGTAAATTATATTATTTTGTCTAATTGGGTCAGCAGGGTCATTTAGTCTACACAGCTTGCCCATGAGTGAGTTTGTAGGTTTAAATGCCACCCTAATTTCTGCTTCATTATGAATCCTACGTAGGTTCTCAGATGTCCCCTCCTTATATGGTAAAACCACTGTAGATGCCTTATATTCTTACTTATGTTATCATTAATAGTTTCCCCATTATTTTTATTTTGCTTTTGCCCTTTTCTGAACTTCCTTATAATTTTTGTGATAGTTATTTGATACCAACGCTTCTCCCATCTGTTTCATTTCATCATTTAGGTCTTTTCTTGTACTACCCTTGAACTCCAGAACACGTGTGGCGTGGTTGACGAGTGTTCCATTTAATGAACCACCGACGCGTCTGCGCTTAATAATTTTAAGTAATTTCAAAATACTGGTTGGCGAACAAAGAATATTCATTACGGTAACTTCTTCATCAGTTAGAGAATAAGTGAAATTAACAACATTAATGTTTTCTAAAGTAACATAGAATCTCTCACATATAGACTTTTGGGCACCTGCTCAACAATCCTTGTACATGACCGTCTCTCAGTCCTTTCTACTCATTTGCTACTTTATGTTCACAGTTAGAATCAACGAGAGTCGAAAACTGATTTAGTTTGGACTGTGTAATTGAATGAAGTATCCAAAAGCCAAACTAGTCCTCCTGTAAGAAACAACCTGTTCACTGAGAGACAGCCATGTACAAGGATTGTTAAACATATGCCCAAGAGTCTACGTCTTAGAGATTCAACAGCATTTAACAGCACCACAGCTCGGCATCTGGCTGATAGACGATACCAAAATTAACACAGAACCATTGACAGCAAAATTCCGAAAGGTGTAGACTGTTAGTGGATCACCAATTAAAATAATGTGTATAAATGTAACGCCGTAGAAAATCAGATACAATACAATATTAAAACATTTTTGTTCGTAACACACGCGACAGAGATAGCACAGACAAAAAATTAGAAGCTTGGGTTTGATGTTTTTTTCTTCAAACGTCAATTTGACAATTTTAAACTCATTTTAAAACAAAAAAAGTAATCCGATTTTTAGTTTTATAGGAATTAGGATTAATTTCAGAGCAGATTTCGCCACCAACAAACATCAAATCTACAATCCCTGTAAACCAAGGACCATCATACAGCTGTTTCCCCCTAGTTTGGGACCCCTCATTGGACACACATTGAGGGAGAATGATGCTCAGGCAGACTTCGTGTGCTTTTGGAAGTGTGTGGGCGGTTGTTACTTCCCGGCTGCCCACACCATGGCTCAAAATCGTTCTCAGTGGTGCAGATTCATCCACTCCTTGTGACTTGTGATTTCCAATGAAACTGTTTTGTTCTTCGTTATTACTATTCCTTTGTCTCACACCTCTGTTTATTGTCTCTAATATGCATTTCTCCTACTTTCTTCTCTTGCTTTGTGTGTTACATGGAGTGTGGCGACTTGAACTGTCGCACATATGTGCGAAGTTCTATGTCGAAAACCGACCGACCGACCGACCGACTGGACACACATTGACCCATAAGTTGAAATAAACAGATCGCTCATTTTCGATCCAGAGGTTGTCTAGTTAATGACCTGGAGTCGTTACCTGAAGATCCTACGTTCTATCCTTGGTGGCGTCACTGATATGTACCGTTGAAGATGAAACAACTGCCTCTGACTTTCTAACTCACATTAGTTCATGACGAAGTCTATATACTAAAGAAACATACACAAATCATGAAACTTACCGTTCCATTTCTAATCGTTTCGCTTCAGCTTCTTGTTCTTCACGGAATTGTTCTTCTTGTATACGTTTTTGTTCCAACTGGATTTGACGTTTTTCACGACGTATTTTCAATTGAAAGTCAAAAATCTGTTTACGTTCACTATCTGACAGTGCCGCATACTCATAATCGGTTATATCATCCAGTTTCTTGTAATACTCTCTTGTTGATAACAGCTCATTTTCATTCATCTCTGTTTGTATTTCTAATAAACACTGTCTATACTTTTCATAGTCAGATTTTATGCTTATTGTATAAATATACTTGCAATCTTTCAAACATTTCAATAGTAGTTCTATTGTAGATAATGCATTCTTTGTAAAGTCTGATTCTATTCCATCAATGATAATATTTTTATGATTCAGGCAATCCGATTGCTTTAAACGTTCTTTAATCAAATGAAGGATAATATCATCAGGTAAGATTGTTGTATACAGTTGGTCAGTTGATGGTATTATCAGTGTTGGTATATTGTTATTGTTATTATTATGTTTTATTGTCCAGTGAATTAGCACACGATTTAATTTGATCATTGAATATTGAAAAATTGATACATTTTGACTTGAACATTGAATTTGACCTTGGACTTAGTGGTAACTTTTGATGATGATGATGATGATGATGAAGAAAACAGGTGTAAACATGAAGTTAGTAAAGAATCAAAGAATTTAAATGAATTAAAAGATGGTGTATTTCAACAATCATGGATTATGCTTTGATTAAAATTTTCGACAGCTGTTTTATCTTAGTTAGGGATTTTTCTGTCATTGGCATATATGACCCTACCAATAATTAAAATGAGGATCTAGGATGTGGTGTAAGAACAGGTAATTACTAATCACTGTGGATGGATACTTGAGTGTTTTATGAATTCATCCATGATTAGATTTAAACCCACTAGTTGAATGATAACGTCTTAGATTCATCTAATTTTGCAGATGCATTAACAGCTTTTACTGCTGAATATCTGGAGAATCCTCTATCAGTATTCACTGGTGACTTCAATTCTTGTGACTGCTCGTCCCTTGAATCACTTGGACATGTAAACACATTGTTGACTTCTCTACTCGACTTGACAAAACACTTGGTTTAATGTTCAGTAATGACGTTGGAATATAAGAAGCATGCCAATCAGCAGTTATTCTGGCGGCCTGTTTGATACCTGGGCTACCTTTCCGTACATCTACATATTTGCATCTAATACATCATGTTTTCATTTTTAATTTTAACAAAATATGATCACAAATCGTATCAAATACAGTAATGAATTCATTAAATGTTTTAAACCATATGACTTTCATGCATCTGATAAAACTAAGAGAAAACATCACGGTGGTTGGCAACGTGCTCTCAAACGGACACCTTTATATCGCACAACTATTCCTGTTATTGTCAGTTCAAACTGCCGTTCACTTCCCAACAAAATTATGCATCTCCAGTCTCTCTTATCATCTGATACTTATCACAATACGGCGATAGTTGCATTGCAAGAAACATGGCTCCATGATCTTTGTGATGACAACCTGGTTTCTCTAAATGGTTTTACATTGTTTAGACAAGATCAACTTTACTCTAAAAAGAAAAGAGGTGGAGGTGTTGCAACTTTCATTCATTCTCAGTGGTCAACTTCAAATAATGTATGTTTTTCTTTCTCTGGTGACTTTATTGATTGTATAACAGTCAAATGTCATCCGAAACACTTATCCAAGTTTAAATACGTCTTCATCTCAAATATTTATGTTACTCCTGGCTGTTCCGCCTAGGATCTATCTGATTTTGCCGATGAATTCACTGCATTCGCTGTTACACATCTTGAAAACTTTTTTTCAGTTGTCACAGGAGACTTCAATTCCTGCGATTGTTCTTTTCTTGAATCATTAGGTCATGTCAATATTGTTAAATTTCCAACTCAACTTGATAAAACACTGGATCTAGTATTTACTAATGATGCGGAAATATATGAAGCAAGCAGACGTGCTCCTATAATGAACTCTGATCATTGTGTTATTCGGATATTGCCTAAGATATATTGCAGATATCACTCTAACATCCTCTCAAATCTGTCCAGAAAAACACAACAAAGATGTTACTCACAAGAAAATGTGCTCAAACTAAGACGTATGTTAAATGACACAAACTGGGAACTTTTCACTGAACACACACTGGATGATACTATTTCCAATCTGACTGACTATCTTGTGCTGAAAATTCCACACTGTACCACTAGTACTGTTTCTGGAATAAAGCAAATTATTATTATTATTCTTAACTCTGATCACTGTATTGTACGAGTCCTGCCTTAAATATGCTAACGACCTTAGTGTCTCGAACTGATAGTTCCAAACTGAATAGCTTTCAGCCCGACACTAGCCAGTGGTCTAAGCTTAATGATCTAACCTTAAATCCCTTCAAATGTCAGACAGTTAATTTCACCTTCAGGAATAAACGCGATCTTAACGAACTTATTAGTCCACATGATGCTTGTAGCTTAGAGGGCACTGAAATAGAGAATAAATCAAGCATAAAATGCCTTGGCATAGTTCTGTCCTCTGAAATTTCTTGTTCTCCCCATATCCTGTATAATCCTAAGAAAATGCTCCATTTAACCTACTACAAAAGGAAGTTAAAACAATTTAGAATGACTCAACCTTTACTTTTGAAATTTGTTAACTCTTGGATCTTACCTATTCTTCATTGTTGCTTTCCCTTAGTCTTTCCTGGGCTACTCAAAAATGATTACTTCATGACGTGAAGGCTGTTTAAGGTTGTTATTGGGTCAAGTGGTGTGCCACTACGTCCTCCAGCTCGTTACTACTGTAATCGACAGACACCTGAACTCCTGTGAGAAATGGTTCAAATCCATATTGTCTGACTCTCAACACTCTCTCTGTGTTCACAACTCTTCTCCTGCATCTCATCAGGTATGACCAGAAGTCATTATAGACGATTATGCGATCGTACAATCAAGTACAAAAACCCAAAGTTACCCTATTTGTTCCGACCACATTCTATTTGATGAAGATAGTGTTAAACGTGAAACTTACGACTTAGTGTGTAATTAGCATAAAAAATGGCTCAGTTATTCTCCCATATTTGTAATTTTATGCTGACAATATCCCCATTATCCTATAATTTTGTGTTATTAATATTAATATTATTAGTGTTCTTGTCATTTTACAATTGTACATTTTGACCCTACTGTTTCTGCTAATGTCAAAAGTTGCTGTTATCAGTATTGTTTAAGTGTACCCTGCAATGTATATTTTCTGTTGTTGTTATTGTGGTTGTTGTTCAGTGAATCAGATGCCATACTGTACAAAGTGCTGAAAATTCAAGATTTCATCATGTACCATCGGAAAACCTGGGAGTATTGTACAGCTGTTTCGTCCTAGTTTCAGAGTCTTCATCAGTACACACCCATTGATCTTGCCATATCGTGAATTTGGCAGAAGTTAGAACTCATGAACCATTGGATCGGGTCTCAGTGGATCAATGGTCTACGAGCTCCCTAGCCTTGTAAAAGAAGGTCCTGGGTTCGAACTTTGACTGTAGCAGTATACCGGTGAAGAGTCCCACACTGGGATGAAACAGCTGTCCAATACTCCCAGATTTTCAAACGGTCCTCTAAACGATGTCAGTTCATGATGAAATCCTGAAACTGACTAAATCCCTGCAAACCAACACTTGAATACAAGTCATTATTAATACGAATGTCGTAATTGCTAAATACTCTTGAACAACGACGGAACAAATAAACGGTGCTGGCTGGTATTTAGTGAGTCAAAGTTACACTATAACGATCCATGGAATGCGAATGCACGTCTGACCCTGAGCAGATCAGTCAGACAACAAAAATAGGGAGAATAATGATAAAACACATTAAAAAGAGGACATTTTTTTCCGTAATATGATTTAAAAATGCCTTCTGATTCTATTGAGGTGTATCACGTTTTAGGTTAGCCACTTACTGTACATGTATGTATTCATCGATGTGACTGAAGTTGAGTTTGTTTTGTGACTTAATTAAAGCTGAATTAGTAGCAACGGTTATAGAAAGGGGTTCGACAACAATATTTACTATAAAAATGTCAATAATAGAAATGAAACACGACGCTAGCCCTAATCTCAACCCTTAAATTGACCTTAATCATAATTCTAATCCTAAATTTAATCCTAACACTAACCCTAATTGTAGCCCCAATCCCAAACGTAAACGTAACGAGCTATCAACGCACTATCCAAACACTACTTAAAGACGAGACTGGGATGAAATTTGCACCACCTCAGTTCCTACAAGGTGGCATTATAAGGATGGTAGGTGCAGTTAACCAACAACTAGTATGCGTCCAGGGTGACTGGTGCGTTCATACTCCTGGATCGCTATACTTTTACTAAGGCTTCAGTGCTTCCTCAAATAATATTTGATTTATTCGACATTACAAATGACATCAAAAAAAGGTGTGCAGAAATCCAGGGTGATGTATATTACTGATTGTTATATATGTCGAATACCATCTGCGTCAGCTTATAGTACTCTTGAACTACAGTATATTGGCAGGAATTCTGGTACATTCATCCTATCGTTCGGATCAAAATTCATCAACTATATACTCTACTGGCCTTATTTAGATGGACGAAATATTTCAAACAAATAACCCACGAATGTGATTCACAGAGTTAGGACTTTCTCACACTTCCAATCTTCTTATCAGTGAAGAGTAGGTGGGCACAGTTAACCTGAAATATAGTCTTATCAGAGATTGGGTGTCACTGATTTTGCCCATGACACTACATTTTACGATTTCCTTATCATTCTGCATAATATCTTTGTCATTTTTCAAGTCAATCCAAGACAGTTTCTTTCAAGGATGTACACGCAGATGAAATGATTACTTACATACCCTTCAAACAGATCAGTAACGCTTGCTGATCAGATAAAGTTGACTCAGGCATTAGGAGCTCCAATCAGCAGTATACTAGTGTGATGATGTGATGCAGACAATGTGTGTTCCAACGGAATATGATTCTCACATATTCCCACAGTTCAATACGGCATTAACAACAGAATACTATGTATATTTGAAGATTCTATTTCATGTCGTTTAATGTAAACCAAAATCACACTCTAAGTGATTGGTTAACGAAATTTAACTGTAGATATAAAAACAGCGGTTTGATTAACGAGAAATATACCTTGGCTTCAGTGTCTTGCCTTCTGATGTTACACTAAGATTACTCACATGCAAATAATGGAGTCTTTTGAACTATCATAACCCTGATGTTTTGAATGCGTGAAATTGTTTAAAGTGTAAACTTACTTTTATATAAGTAAATCATTCTAATTATTAAATTCATTTGGGATCTTCCCATTTACTGACTGGACCAAAGTGCTCCGCCACACATTGATATGTTGGCTCCTTGTGCAGATGCTTCGACGATGTTTGATAATTTAACCTGAAGTGAACTGGTGAATGGCGACTAGCAGTGGCATCCAGGATACGCATTTCGTCCTGGCTGGGGCTTGTCATCTGGA